AGCTGCCGCCACGTCCTCAGCCTGTGCCTGGAGGCAGCTGGCCAAGCCCTCTCCTGGGGAGGCAGATGGGGGACCCAGACTGAAGAGGGGGAAACTGTCAGAACCACGGGGGGCTAAGATTTCAGGGGCCTGGGAGCGGCAGAACAGCTGGTCCCCAGCTCTGCGGAGGGCCTCAGGTTTGTCATCTGACCGATGGGGATAAATCCACTGGTCCTTGGTCCTTGCTTCCAGGGCCTCCGCAGGCAAGCTAGGGATTTTATTTCACTTTTTTAAGCAATAATCGAGGCCTCGGATAAACCTCATTGGCTACGATACTGCCACTGCGCAAAGCTAAGGATTGTAGTAGATGGTGATTACTTTCGAGAAGTGTCCCCAGGGACGTGGGCCCAAGTTAGAATAAACAGTAAGAGGAGGAGCCAACACTCTCAGCCTCCTCCGGGCACAGCTGCTCCCTGCCCCAGGGCCCCAGCAAAGACTGGGTGCGGCTAGGGGCACGGTGCCCCTCCCGCGCCTGGTGACCCTCCTACCTGTGACGGGATCCTGGCAAGGCACCGATTTCCTGTTTTCGGGCTTTAACCACTTTCCAGACACATAGTGGCCCAGGCACCGGTCCTGCGTGTCCAGCCAGGCCTGGGGAAGAGGGAGAGTTTGGAAAGGGGCCTGGGAGCAGCGGAAGGAGCTCCATCCCTACCCAGTGTCCCCCTCCGCCCCGCCAGCCAATTCTTTTCCTGTGTAGGTAGCAAACAGACATACACGTAACACTCTCCACATTTTAACCGTTTTAAAGCGTACAATGCAGCCGAAACCGGTTTGGCTCAGTGGTAGAGATTCCGGTCAAGGGCATGTACCTTGGTTGCGGGCACATCCGCAGTAGGGGGTGTGCAAGAGGCAGCCGATCGATGTTTATCTCTCATCGATGTTTCTAACTCTCTATCCCTCTCTCTTCCTCTCTGTAAAAAAAAATCAGTAAAATATATTAAAATAAATAAATAAAGTGTACCATGCAGGGGCATCTAGTAAATTCACAATAACGTGCAACTATTACCACTTTCTGATTCCAGAACATTTCATCGTCCCTAAAGGACAGCTCCACAGCCATTAGGCAGTCGCTCTCCCTTCCCCTGTGCCCAAGGCCTAATCCGCCTCCTGTCTCAGGGTTATTCTGGGCAGTTCCCGTACATGGAATCCCACACTAAGTGGCTTTCTGTGGCTGGCTTCTTTCACTTGGCATGGTTTCTTCTTTTCTTTTTCTTTTTTTTTTTTAATGTTATGATTGGCGTGGCGTTTTCAAGGCCCATCCATGCCGTATCCTGTATTGGCACCTCATTTTTTTTTTATGGCCGTGTGGTCATTATCTGGATGGACATTCTGTTTAGCGAGTCACCAGGGGATGGGCACGGGGGTCCTTTTCGCTCTCTGGCTATTGTGGTCTGTGCTGGCAGAGCCGTGCGTGTGCACCTGTGACCCCTGCCAGGGCCCTGGAAGCGGTGCCCACGGGACCGTGTGGCTCCTGAGCCAGGCGGTTGGTTCCTGTGTTCCCTCCGCCTCAGCTGTCAGCACTTGGGGCGTGAGGGCGGGACCCCCCACCCCGAAGACAGACTGGACGCCGCCCTGCCAGGCGCGGTTTATTGGGCCGTGGCACCTCTAGCCGAGCCCACGGCGTGGCACAAGGCTTTGCAGAGGGGCGGCCAGTGTGGGTCCCTGGGCGGGGCCGCGGCGGGGGGGGATCCTGGCTCTGGTACTCGCACAGGGTGCAGCCACCGCCTCCGCGAAGCGAGCCATCCGGAAGGTGGCGGCGATGACAGCCCTCACCTCACTGAGCTGAGGATGACTCTTCCTTGTCAGAGTCATCGCAGTGGCACTTGTAACTTCCTGTTAATTTTACTGCAGCTCCTCGTTTCTCTGTCCCAGGTCCGCTCTTCTCAAACCCCCCACCCCCTTTTTAAAAAAATATATTTTATTGATTTTTACAGAGAGGAAGAGAGAAGGATAGAGAGTTAGAAACATCGATGAGAGAGAATCATCGTCAGCTGCCTCTGGGAATGTGCTGCAACCAAGGTACATGCCCTTGACCGGAATCGAACCTGGGACCTTTCTGTCCGAAGGCGGATGCTCTATCCACTGAGCCAAACCGGTTTCGGCCCCTCTTCCCCAAATCCTTGCTAAATCCATGGCACGCTTCCTCCTTTTGCCTTCCACACTCTTCTCTTAGCACCACACCCCTCCCCCTCCCCCCCCCCCCGTGCCTCAGTCTCCCGTCTTTTCTCTTCCCCTGCCAACCAGCCCCTCTCCTCATTTTTCTTTTAAGTCAAATGGTCAACAGGAAGTTCCTAATTCAAACCCCTCCAGAGGCTGGGGGTGGGGGTGGGAGGAAGACACTTTGACACAGTTGAAGGTATCTGAACACGAGCTGGGCATCAGATAATATTAAAGAATGACTTGCCCTGACCGGTTTGGCTCAGTGGATTGAGCGTCGGCCTGCGGACTGAAGGGTCCCAGGTTCAATTCCGGTCAGGGGCATGTGCCTTGATTGCGGGCACATCCCCAGTGGGGGGTGTGCAGGAGGCAGCTGATCATTGTTTCTCTCTCATTGATGTTTCTGGCTCTCTATCCCTCTCTTCTTCTCTGTAAAAAAAAAAAAATCAATAAAATATATTTAAAAAATAAAGAATGACTTAATGTTGAGCGTGCCAATGGCAGGTGGTTATGTTACAGGAGAGCTTATGTGTTAGAAACGAGGAATCAACTATTTATGAGAAAATAATATGACCCCTGGGATTTAATTTTTTGTTGTTGATCCTCACTGGAGGTTATTTTTTCCACTGATTCTTAGAGAGAGTGGAAGGGGCAGGTATGCGGGGAGAAAAAGGGGGGAGAGAGAGAGAAAGAGGAGATATCCAAGCGAGAGAGAGACATTGACTGTTGCCTCCTATGTGGGCTCAGGCAGGGGACGGGGACTGAACCTGAAACCCAGGTACATGCCCTTGACCAGGAATTGAACCCGAGACCTTCCGGGTTAGTGGGCTGACTCTCTAACCATTGAACCACACCGGCTAGGCCATGGGATTGAAATCACTCCAGAAAGAGAGACCACAAAGGGAGACAATGGGATCAAATGGTCATCATTGCCGAGGCTCACTGGGGAATACGTGAGAGTTCACAATATTAAATACTCTGGAATTTTGCAAAATTTCCCCCCAAAGAAAAACAAAACCCTAAAAGAATGTCTGTGGGGTCCTGGCAGGCCTCTATAGTGTGCGAAGAGGGCCCGGGGGAGACTGGGAACACACCACTCGTCTGAGACAAACTGTCGCCAATGGATCCAGATGGGTTTTGTCAGGGACCGTGACCAAAGGTTGCCAAACTGGGGGATTTTATTTTCAAGAGAAGCAGGAAACCCGGATGTTTACATGGGATTAGTTCTCAATTAATTCACATTTTTACAAATAAAGTTAGGCCAAAGAAAACATGTTTATTGGCTGAGTCTGGCCAACAGACCATACAGTTGAGACCTTGGCTTGGGGAAAGGGGGGGGGCCACACAGGCGCTGGAATCTGAGGGCTCAGGTTCACATCTCAGCTTCCCCTTATTTCTTGTATTTAATTCAAATTCTTTATTGTTGAAAGTTCAGCTTCCCCTTTTTTTTAAAAAAAATATATCACTGATTTTTTACAGAGAGGAAGGGAGAGAGACAGAGTTAGAAACACTGATGAGAAACACCGACCAGCTGCCTCTTGCACACCCCTCACTGGGGATATGTCTGCAACCAAGGTACATGCCCCTGAGCAAAATCGAACCCGGGACCCTTCAGTCCACAGGTCGACACTCTGTCCACTGAGCCACACCGGTTTCGGCTCAGCTTCCCCTTTTAAGCCATGCTGACCGTGGGCAAATGACTTACTTCCCAAGCCTCTGTGCGATCACTGACATAATGACCGTAACCCCTCCCACGGGGGTCCCGGGAGAGCCAATGCAATGACGCTGAGCACCGAGGGTGGCTTGGTGTGTGTCTGTCCACCCAGGAAGTTCTGAATTGGCTCCAATGAACAGAAGCTGTTGGCACATTGCCATTCCACAAACATTCCACTTCTAACCTCCGGGTGGGGATTCTCTGTTCACTGTCCCAGTTCTTTTTTTTTTTTTTTTTTTTTTTTACTACATTCTATTTAGTTTTTACAGAGAGGAAGAGAGAAGGACAGAGTCAGAAACATCGATGAGAGAGAATCATCGATCAGCTGCCTCTTGCACACCCCCTACTGGGGATGTGCCGGCAACCAAGGTACATGCCCTTGACCGGAATCGAACCTGGGACCTTTCAGTCCGCAGGCCGACGCTCTATCCACTGAGCCACACCGGTCAGGGCACCACCAGGACTCATGGTGGGCCCACGCGACATTCTGAGGTGGTGAGGGGTCACGGGGGGCCCATGAGGGCATGCTGACAATTAGGAGTTTTCTGATGTATTCTGGGGTTCCAAGAGTTCCCGAGATCACAGAAGCCACATCAGTACAGCGGAGCCTGAGGCATCCCGGGGACCCCACGGAGGGTCCGAGCGAGGTATTCAGGGAGCCCCCTGGGAACGCTGGGGGTGCCCCGGAGGACCATGGGAGGCCCCGGAGCTTGAGGAATCCTGGGAAGTGTCCGGGGGTTCAGAGGTTCCTTGGAAGGTCAAGGGAGCCACCCAGGAAGTTCTGAATTGGCTCCGAAGAACCGGGCGGGGCACCCGGGTCTGAGGAACCGGGGAAACACCGCCGCGAGCTCGGGTCGTTGGGCAAGAGAACCGCGAGAGGGCTGAGAGAAAACCCGCCAAAGCTCCAGGGACCCACTTCCGGGGGCGGCGGGAATCGCGGGAGCAGAGAGGGGCGGAGCCTCGGGGCTGCCGCGGCGCATCACGGGAGTCAGTGCGCAGCACCCGCGCGCGAGAGGGGGAGGGGGAGGGGGAGGGGGAGGGCCGGCGCCGGCCCGCGAGCCCTCACCAGCGCGCATGCGTGGCTCTCCGGCGCGGGTCCGTACTCCATCGTGGCGAATATCTCTGGGGCGCGGGACTCTGCGCGCGTGGCGGCCATCCCCCGTCCAGACCGCTTTCCAACCGACTGCCGGGCGCTCTACCCGAGTGAACCTCGAGGTCCGAAGGGCGGGACCGCCCCCTCCAGAGCAAAGGGCGGGCCGCGGGAGATGGAGCGTGACCAACCTTAGGACCCGGCGACCCCGCCCACGCAGTGTGGCGCATGCGCAGTCCTGAGTCGGGGGGATACGGAAAAGGAGAAAGTGTGCTCTGCAAACTGGAGAGTTCCAGATTTAGGAGGGTGGCCGTATTGGTGTGTGTCTTCCCACCACCCTGTTCCCAAAAGGGCAGCTTCCGGCCCGAAATACATTTCCTAGAGAATCGGATCTGGCTCCGGGGCGAAGCGATGATTCTGAGACCAGAAGGGAATCTTAGGGTGGACACTGAAATTAGGGTTTAACTGTCCCATAACCGGGCCTGAGGCGGTTGTCGGGAAGGAGGGGGAAGTGTGCCTTTAATCGACAGCGGAAGTGTGGCATTAAGGGAACCGGCCTCAGAATCTAGTTTTGATTGGTTGAGGCGAGGGGCGTGGCCTCGTACTTAGACTGTGATTGGTCAGTAGCGCGGTTGCTGGTTAGAACGAGCGTTGAGGGAGCCGGAAGTGTGGCGAACTCAAATTTCTGTTGCACAGAAACCGGAAGCGTGGCTGTCCTTTAAACAATTGGCGTGTTGTTGGACCTAGAGAGCATCTAGAGATGTTGTCCCCCAACAGATTTGACGGTATCTGATCCGAGTGGAATTGCAGCCTCCGGCAGATTCCTCGATTTTCATATACAGCGGCGGGTGTCGGAGTCTGTTGAGGGTCCGGGAAGCAGGCCCCCCACGTCGGGGTTGCTGGGGACGCCTAGCTCTCTTCCCCGGGGCCATGGCGGACTTGAAGCTGCTGGTGCCGGAGCTGAACGAGGCGGAGGAAATGGGCGCTGACACGGCACGTTTCCAGGAGCTGCTGCTGCAGGTGCGCACTAGCCAGGACTCCTGTGTCCCTGGTTATTTGGGGGATTCCTTTTTTTTTTTTTTATTCCCTGAGATGGGCTTGCAGTTCCCAGAATGCATTGGAGAGGCAACAGGGCTTATGGGAATTGTAGTTGTTTAACTCCAAGTTCGCTGGGCTTTGGAATAAATGGGAGTAAGACTGGAGTTGTTCTTTGGGTTCCTCAGAGGAGGAAAGGGACATAATACGTCTAATTCCCTGCGTGGCTCATATCCATTGACATTGCTCAATAAACATTTGAGCAACAAATGCGGGTCTGAGCCATTTTCCTTCGTGCAGGCCTCCAAGGAGCTGCAGCAGGCCCAGACGAGCGGACCAGAATCAACACAGATCCAACCCCAACCAGGTGAGGAAGGCAGAAACCCAAGGACAGTGAGAGATTCCCAGGGAGAAGTGGAGAGACACTGGGGTCAAAGGGCACAGAGGAGGGAGGAAAGGGACAGAATAAGAGGGGTTAGAAGCCTTAGTGGCACGGAGGTGAAGATCCAAAGAGAGGAGGGGGTGGATGGCAGTGACTGGGGGGACAGAGACTCCAAGATGGATGGAAAGAGAGTCAGAGGTCCCAGGCATGGGAGGGGGACAGGACCAGAAAGTGGAGGACTGAGACTCAAGGAAGGGGACAGACCGAAAGAAGGACAGGCTGGGGAGAGGACTGGTGGAGATCAACATCCCCATGGAGACATGGTCAGGACCAACCCGTTCCCACCAGGCTTCTGCGTAAAGACCAACTCATCGGAAGGGAAGGTTTTCATCAACATCTGTCACTCTCCCTCCATCCCGCCTCCGGCTGACATGACCGAGGACCAGCTGCTTCAGATGCTGGAGGAGGACCAAGCCGGGTTTCGCATCCCCATGAGTCTGGGGGAGCCTCACGCCGAACTCGATGCCAGTCAGTACCCTCGGAGGACCCAGGACCCTGGCCCCCTAGGCCCTTCCTTGCCCAGGACCCCAGAACCCAGGGCCCAGGTCTCTCCTCCTGCAGGGCCTAGAACCCCCTCCCCTAAGCATACCCCTAGCCTCCCGGCCGCATGGGGCAGTCCTGGTTCTGCCCACCTGGCCACGCCGGCACTTCTCTTCGCCTCCCTCCGGGGCGAGGGCCAGCTTTGTTAGCCGATCTTCTGGATCTGGGCCCAGGCCAGCTCTCACCTCATCCACGGCTCCCTCTCTCCTGTCTCTGTCTCTGTGGCATTTCTGTTCCGGGACCACGTTTTGGGTGGTGCCCCCGGGAGTGGGGACTAATCAAACCCAGAACTTGGGGTTTCAATATTGCGTGATTCTTGCTGTGCCGGAGGGGGCGCTTGGCCACATTGAAGGGTCAGGGTCAGGGAGGGCTTCCTGGAGGAGGAAATGTCCAATTGAAGATGAGAAGGAACTGGAGGAGTTCATCAGCTCAAGACAGAGAAGAAGGTTCTGGGCAGAGGGTTCAGGCAGGGGTCCCGAGAAGGCCAGGAAGGATTGAGCTGGATCGGTCAGTAATTGGGAGGGATGGGAGGACTTTGCAGGGAGGAGGGCGCTATAGAAGTGAGGGTTTTCTCTCTCCAGGTGGGAGGGGCAGACAGGGCCCCCAGTGCCAGGCTGAAGTGCTCAGACCTACTGTGTGCTAGGGCGGTGGAGGGCTGTGAGCGGGGGGGGGGGGGGGGGGGGGGGGAGGCAGGTGGGGCTGTGGGACACTGGGGGGGAGCAGAGGGACAGGGCCTGGAGGCGGTGTGAGTCAGTGAGCATGAGCCCTAATGGTCTCTGGGTCTCTGTGCCATCTGAGCGGGGGGCTGCCCGCAGGGCTGGGGCCTCACCCCTTCCTCTCCCGCAGAAGGCCAGGGCTGTACCGCCTACGACGTGGCTGTCAACAGCGACTTCTACCGGCGGATGCAGGTTGGGGGCGTGGCTGCGGGTGAGGCCTGGGCAGGGGCCGCTCCCCTTGCCCTGGAGCCCTCCCGCAGCCCCGCTCCCCGCTCTGTCCTAGAACAGCGATTTCCTGCGAGAGCTGGTGGTCACCATCGCCAGGGAGGGCCTGGAGGACAAGTACAGCCTGCAGCTGGATCCGGGTAAGGGAGGGGGCGAGTGCGGCCAACGGCTTAGCCTCCCGGCTGCGATCCGGGGAAAGGGCGAGGCTCCCGGAGGTGCGAGGGTGTGTGTGTGTGTGTGTGTGTGTGTGTGTGTGTGTGTGTGTTTGTGCCTGTGGAGCCAGACCTGGCCCGTTATCTAGGCAAGGGGCGGGGTCTGGAGCATCTCCTAGGAGCAGATCTATTGGCTAATACTCCGGGAAGGGGGGACAAGGTGGGCGCGCTTCCTGAAGCCAAGCCTGCGGGTGTGGTCAGGTCCCTGGCCACCTCCACCCTTCTCCTCCCCCCCCCCCCCCCAGACGCCCCCTGGCCCTTCTTGGAGCAAAGGACAATCCTTGCCATGTGACCTTGGACTCCCCTCCCCCCCTTGCAGAGTGGCGCCTGCTGAGGAACCGGCCATTCATGGGCTCCATCTCCCAGCAGAACATCCGCTCCCGCCAGCGCCCTCCGATCCAGGAGCTGGGGAACGTGTTTACGGCCGGCTCCCTGCGGCCTGAGGGCAGGTGGGCTTCCGGGGCTCCCTCCCCCGTGTCCCCGCAGGCCGTGTCCTGGGCCCCGGGAACCCCAGAAGGAGAAGCTGAACTCGGCTGCGAGGCTGCCCGGGGCCGCGGGGCCGGTGATGGCCAGAGGGAAGGGAGCCCCTGCTAGGCAGGGACAGCCGCCCGCCGGGACCTGGGGGCGCCCCTCAGTCCTGGCTCTTGTTCCCCCTCAGCCCTGAGAAGCCGCACCTGAGCCTCTGGCTGGAAGCCCCCGACCTCCTTTTGGCGGAAATCGACCTCCCCAAGCTGGTGGGTGCACCTTGGGCCTGAGCTGGAGGAGGAGGCTGGGTGCTGGAGGGAAGGTGACCTGGGCTGTTGCCGGCCGTTAGTGCTGCCCTCTGCTGCCCACTTCCGGGGCTGTCCCAGGGTACCCAGGGCACTGTGAGTGACCAACACAGGCCGGAAATGACCATGACCGCACCCCACCGCCTCCCTGTAAACGAGGTCTCCCAGCCCGGGAGCCTGCTCCCTCTGGTTCATGCCTCCGTCTCTACCCCGTGTCCTGCTGCCGGAAGGAAGGGCGGGCTGGGCTGACTCCCGTCTGTCCCCAGGACGCAGCTCGGGGGCTGTCGCTGGAGGTCGGGGAGAACCGCCTGGTGCTGGGGGGCCCCCAGCAGCCGTACCATCTGGACGTCTACATCCCCCTGCGGGTCAGCTCCGAGGAGAGCAGGGCGGCCTTCCATCGGAAGAGAAGGGTACCCGGCGGGGAGGGGGCGGGGGCGGGGGGCGGGGGGCGGGGGGCGTCCTGCCTCCTGGGGCCTGAACGCTCTCCCTTCCCCCCTCAGCAGCTGATGGTGGCCCTGCCCCTGCTGTCCGCACCGTCCTGACCCTGCGGGCTCCGGGTGGGAGAGGGGGACCGCTTCTCTGAAACGGAAATAAAAGAGTTCGCTTTCCACTGTGTCCGGCTGGGGATGCGTGGGGCATGGGCGGGAGGGGCACTGGGTTGGAGCCCTGGGGTCCCAAAGGGGTCACTGTGCGGCCCCGGCTCGTCCTCTCCCTCACTCCCAGCCTCCACTTTCTCCCCTCGGGCTCCCGTGGGGTCCTGGAGCTGACTCTGCCCCCTCCTGTTCACACCCTGCCCTGCTCCGCATCGCCCCCGGGAGAGATGGTCCAGGCCCCCCAGCCTGGCACTCCGAGCTCTGTGCGGCCTGATGGCAGGATATGCCTGCTGGTTTCAGAGAGAGGGGAAGGGAGGGCGGGAGGGAGAGAGAAACATCGATGTGAGAGAACACCCACGGGTTGTCTTCCCTACGTGCCCCGGCCGCGGATGGAAACGAGCCTAGGTACGTGCCCTGACCGGGATCAGACCTGCCCCCTCTGGAGAACAGGACGGTGCTCCAGCCACTGAGCCACACCAGCCAGGGCACGGGCTGGCCTTCAGGCCTCCTTTGGACCCCTTCCTGCCTACTCACACCACACCATTACTGAAACTTTGTTTCTTGCCGGCCCTGCGTGATCCAGCTAGCCTTTCAGAGCTGCCTTCAGAGTTTGCTCAGATCTAAAACCCAGACTCCAAGGTCCAAAATCCCGACCTCCCGCCCCCCCCCCCCCCCCCCCACTTTACCTTCTCACAGACGCACGCGTAGCCTGCCTTCAGGGACGCGGCCCGGACCCTATAGGTTCCCCTGCCTCCTAGGACACAGGCTCAGCAGATCCTCCCGCTCAGATCCCTGACCTCACCTTCCCTCCGGGACCTCTGCCCTTCCAGGGTGCAAACTAGCTCACCAGCTGCGTCTCCTCGCCGAATTCGGGCTGAATTCCGCGCGTTTCAGCTGCTCCCTCCGCCCGATCCGGGACGAGGCTCAGGACACGCCCGCCCATTCCACCGCCCTCTTCCTCTCACCTGGAACTTTTTCTTAGTTTTGCTGCCCTCCTGCCTAGTACCTCCTCTCAGGTTCACCTGGGAAGCTTCTACCCGCCTGCCCCTCACAGGGGATGCCCTCAGAGCCCCTGGTGATCCGACCCAGACCATCCTCTGCCCTCTCCTCCCCCTGTCCTGACAAGTGCCCATTCCTGGAACTGTACTTCAAGTCAGTCACACCAAACTTTCTCCCTTCCCCACTCGGCCAGTGCTGATTCCCCTGAGGGGCTGCACTCCCTCCTGCCACCCTTATCCGCCTCCCCACCCAGTCACCCCTTTCAGAGCTTTCCCTGGAAAGCTTTTCAACCTTCAAGTTTTCTCCCATCTACCCTGGCAGGGTTAGAATCCCCCTCCCCAGGAGTCCCCAACACCCAGTGTTACTCTTACAGCTGTGTCTCCTGTGGGGTGACAATGCCTAACACCTGTTCGGAAAGCAAATATTTGTTGAATAAATGATGGGCAAAGCCCTCTCCTTTTCCCATAGTCCTAAGTGCGTAAGTAAATGGGACCTCAGTGGTAAATTGAGAGAGCAGTCAAGAGTCCGGTGTGACTGGAAGAGTTGAATTGGGTGGGCAGAGAGGGAGACTTGGTGAGAAGGGGGAAAGGTGGGATAGGGTTTATGAGCATCTGAAGAAACTCATGTAGGCGCCGTGTCCACTAGATGGCGCGACGCACCCTCAGAACTACAACTCCCGGCGGCCCTCCCGAAGCAAGCCGAGGCGCAGCGGCCGCCGGGAGTTGTAGTTCTCACAGGGACTCTCCGTGGGCCCGAGAACACATCCTTAAGTCCTAAGAAGTGCGGGGCTGGGTCCCTTCTGCCGCCCTCTGTCTCCATGGTGATGGTTCCGGCGAAGGCACGGGATTTGGCAGCGGCTGGGCCGTCTTCCCACTCCCTCCTCCTCACCATCTGCTCCACCTTCGCACCTGGCCCGGCGCCCCGGCCGCCGCCTCCGCGCCGGGCCGAGGCTCCTGCTGCCGCCACAGGGGGGCGGTGTGCACGGCTCGGCGGGCTGCTCCCCCCTCCTCCCCGGCCCCCAGCCCCCAGCCCCTCCGCCCAGGGGACCCGGCGGTCCTCAAACTCCGGCCAAACCCTGAGGCCCAGACGCCCCTGGAGCGGCCGCGCGGGCGGGGGCTGCGGGCCGCTGGGCCCCTGGCGCCGGCCGCCCCGCCGGCCGTCCTCCCGCCCCCCGGCGGGCCGGGGCCACATCATGAAAATTTAATCCCGAATGCATTTGCGGCCCGAGGCGGAGAGGCAGGCGGCGGGGAAAGAAGCACCCTCCTGGGGCCGGGATCTGAGATGGACTCAGCGGCGGGGAGAGGGGCTGGTGTGGAGGAAGGCGCCGGGCACACCGACGACAAGTCGGGGTTCAGCCCTCGGGGGCGGGGCGGGAAGTCAGGGGCGGAGTAAGGATGTGGGGGGCGGGGCAGATCCCAGAGGGAAGGGCCTGAGCTCCGGGGGTGGAGCCAGAACCGAGTGAGTGGACCGATTCCAAAGTGTGGACTAAACTATTTGGGGCGAAACTGGCCACTGCTGGGGGGGTGGGGGGCAGTATAACGGTCGGGGATGGAACTCAAAGGGAAGGAAATGGGAGGTCAAGGGCCTGGGAGCGAGGTGCGGGCAAAGGAAAAACAACAGAAGGGGAATGGGGAAAGGAAGGATGGAAACAAGTGAATGGAACTGGATGGGGAAGAACAGAAGGGAGAAGGGGTGAGTGAAAATGGGGGTTGGAGCCCTGGCCGGTTTGGCTCAGTGGATAGAGCATCGGCCTGCGGACTGAAGGGTCCCAGGTTCGATTCCGGTCAAGGGCACATGCCCAGGTTGTAGGCTCAATCCCCAGTGTGGGGTGTGCAGGCGGCAGCTGATCAGCTTTGATGTTTCTCTCTCTCCCTCTCTGAAATCAATAATTACATATATAAAATGGGGATTGGAATTTGGGAATTGGGAATTCAGGGGGGAGAATTCCCTGCTTAGGAAGAGAACCTTTTCAATGAGGATGCTGGAACTGGGGGTGATGACGCAGGATGCGGATGGAATTCGGGGAGCGAGATGTGCAGCTGGAGGCTGCAGAAGCCAGGAGGGACAAGACTGAGGATGGAGTGCGGAGGAAGGACACTCAGCGGGATGGAACAGAAGGGAGGAAAACGCGGGGATGAGATGAAAGGAACTGAGGCGGGGCCGGGGGCACCTCTCAGGGAAGAGAGAGAAGGAGCCAGGGGCGGGCCCTGGCCGGTTTGGCTCAGCGGATAGAGCGTCAGCCTGCGGACTCAAGGGTCCCAGGTTCGATTCCGGTCCAGGGCATGCACCTTGGTTGCGGGCACATCCCCAGTGGGGGGGGGGGTGTGTGTGCAGGAGGCAGCTGGTGGATATTTCTCTCTCATCCATGTTTCTAGCTCTCTATTCCTCTCTGTAAAAAAATCAATAAAATATAAAATAAAAAAAAAGAAGAAGCCAGGGAGAGTAACTCTGAGCAGCGACAGAACTGGGGCGATGCCACTGGAGGGAACACACACCCGGGGCCGTGGTCTGGCGGTGGGAGGCGGGGCGGGGTCTGGCGGGCGGGGCCTCCCCTCGCCCCGCCCCCGGTGCTGAGTTCAGCGCCGGCCCCTCGGCAGCCGCACTCGCTGCCTCCTTCCCCCCGAGCGGAGCTGCGGGGCCGGCCGGGCCGGGGCGGACCCCGGGGACCCGGACGCGGCCGCCCGGGCCCGCGGGCGGGGGGCGGCGGGGAGCTCGGGCCGCGCGGGCCGCCACCATGCAGTTCCACAGGGAGGAGTTTCGGAAGCTCGCGGGTCGCGCCCTCGGGCGGCTGCACCGGTGAGCGGGGCGGGGGTCCCGGGGCGGGGAGGACGGCCAGGGCCGGAGAGGGCGCTCCCCCCCGCGGGCGCACACCCATAGGTGGGCGGGGGGCGATCGGCCGATCGCGGGGTCCCCCCGGGTGTCCGCTTTTCTCCCTCCGCCTCCGACGGCGCCGCTGTCCCTGGTCCTGCCTGGCTCATCCTCATCGGGTTCATTTCTCTGGCCCCACCCCGCTTCAGTCCGGTCTCTTTTCCCTGGGACCGCGTGTTCCCCTCTCTCTGGGTCTCTGAACCCCCTCTCTCTTGGCCTCCGAACCCCTGTCCCACGTCTGGGGCTCTGCTCACCCCTCTTCTCTCCGCGTCCTTTCGCTGGACCTCTGGGCCCCTCTCTCTGGGTCTCTGGTCCCCGTTATCTGAGTCCCTGTCCGCTCCCTGATTCCTGCTCTCACTAGATCTCTATCAACTCCCCTCTCCTCTCGGGGTCTCTGGGGTCTCTGCTCGCCCCCCTCGGGGTCTCGGTCTCTCTTATTTGGGTCTCTGTCCTCTCCCGGGTGTCCGCCCCGCTGCCCCGCGTCCCCCCATCACTCTGTGCTTCTCCGCTTCCGTCACCCGGAGCGTTTAATCTGAAGCTAAAGCGGATTGGGGCCCGTGGGCTCTCGTCCTTGGGGACAGTTAAGCCGGAGGGAGAAGCCAGGGTGGCCGGGGCCTCTGGGTGGCGGGGGGGAGGGGGGAGGCGGCCGCAGACCCCACCGGAGACCTCCCCAAGGATGTAGGCTCCTGCCGGCCAGGGAGGTGACCCCAGTGACCTGGGTGTCCCCCGGGGCAGGCCGGTCGCCGCCCTCCCGTCCCTCACCCCCCACCCCAGCCTTGGCTCCGGGTCAGGGGAATTACTCATCTGCGGTGGGGCCTAAAAATACCTGCCCGGGCGGGAGGAGCGGGCCCCGGCGTCTCCGTGCCCACAGCCCTGACCCCGACCTCAGCGGGCCCTCGTCCCCCGCACCGGGCCATGCCAGTCCTCCCAGTCTAACTCAGTCCTGCTTGCTGGAGGTCACCTCCTGGCTCCACGGACCCCCACAACCGGGGAGAGGGGCAGGAGGCCGGGAAGGGAGGGGGCAGGGGGATCACGCGCGGAGGGGAGGCGGTGGGAAGCTGAGATAACCCCACCCCTGCGTCTCCCCATCTCCAGCCCCTCCCCACCCCTTTTCTCGCCTCCTTTCACGAGTTTCTCAAAATACACATCCGTGAGAAGTCAGGAGACAGAGGGAGAGACGTGCGTGCGGATGGAGGCTGGGCTGGGGGCTGCGGGGAGAGGAGTGTCCCTCAGGCCCCCTCCCTCCGTCGCCGCCCTCAGCCTCTCAGCTGGGTCTGGGTTTCTCTGGCTCGGTCCCTGCCTCCCTCTCACCCTCAGCCGCCTCCCAGCCCCCCCTCCGCAGCCCCCCAAGCCCAGCGCTCTCGCCAGGGCGGTCGCCCAGGAGCCTGGGCGGAGATGGGCCTGTGAATCCTGGGTTCGCTGCGGTGGCTGGAGACTAGGGGGATGCTCTGGGCTGGACCAGCCCACCCCCGCTCGGTCCTCGGGACGAAGCTGGGAAACTGAGGCTCCTCGGAGAAGAGGGAGACAGGGTGGCTGAGCCCCTCCCGCTGGGCTGCAGGCTGTGGGTTTTCCTGGAGATGCAGGAGGTTCCGGCTCCAGCCGGTGGGGACGCTCCCCCAGGCCAGGGAACAGACGTAAAGGGGCGACTAGGGACGAGGCCGGGGGTGGGGGCGGGGGCGGGGGTAATGCGGGCCAGACCAGGAGCCGAAGGGCCTCCTCGGTCGGCCAGGCCCAGGGCTGGTGAGAGCCAGGACGTGGGCGGCCCATCGCCCTTCCTGTGCGTGACCTTGGACGTGCCGCTGTCCCTCTCTGAGCCTCAGTTTCCCCAGCTGCGCGTTGGGAAGAGGAGGGAGAAGCCAAGGAGAGAATGGGACAGGGGCATAGGGGGGAGCAGACGGAGAGCCCAGAGGAGCGGACACAGGCCTTTACGTTGGTTTTAGCCGCAATCACTTCTTGAGTTTCAGGGTCAAATAGCATCTGATATCCACCCGGGTCACCGTCTGATCCCATTGGCTGGCGGGTCCTGAGGAGCCATTCCGGGGCTGCCTCCCCCTCTCTCCGCTCACTCGGGGTCTCGTGCCTCACTCCCCCCTCCCTCCTCCTCTCCCCCATCCGTGTCCCCCCCCCCCTTCTCCTTAAGTTCCAGGGCTGTGTTCTCGCCTCGCTCCCACCGCCTCCCCGCAGCCCGTCTGGCTGTTCTCTCCTCCCCCGTCCTGGCTCCCTCGCCTCCATCTGTTCCGGCCCCTTCCTGGGATCCAGCCCATCCCCTGGCTGCCTCCCCGCGCGGCCAGGAGCCGCACCTCGCCCAGCGCAGCCCCAGCCGGCTCCTCAGCGCCCGAGTCTCATCGCTCAGCGCCCGGGTCCTCTGTGCCTCCGTCCTCTCCCTGCCTCTGGTCTCCGTCCCCTCTCTTCGGGGTCCCCCCTTCTTCCGGGCTGGGTCCCCCTATCTTACCCTCTCCCCATCCCTCTGGGTCTCTGACCCCTTCTCTCTGGGTCTCTCGCTTCCTCCTGTGTCTGTGACCTTCTTTCTAAGCCCCCCTCCCTTTGGGCCTGTCCACACCCCTGGACACCCCTCCCCTGGGGGATCTGAGGTGGCCCTCTGAGTATCTGTCCATCCCCGTCATCACAGCCCAGTCCCTGGTCCGGAACGGAGGGGGCGGCGGGGGCGACGGGGACCGAGCCAAGTCCCCCCCAGGGCCATCTGTCCTGGCCAGGACACCGCCCAGCACCCCCTCCCCGTCCCCTGGGCCGGCAGCCTGAACTCCAGCTCCCAGGGACGCCCGGTGGACTGCTGGGTTCCAGGGTCCCGGACGTCTCCCCGCTCCCTCCCAGGCCCCAGGGATGGGCTGCTGGTGGCTGGACGGAGTCAGCTGGCTGCCAGCCCCGCACCCGAGGCCGGGCCAGGAGGACAGCCATAGAGGCAGGGCAGGGGGAGGGGGTCGGCCTATAAGCAGCCGCGGCTGCGAAGCATCTGTTCTGCTGACACCTTTGCTGCAGCATCTCCTTAGCGCCTTTTCTTCCTCAAATAGACGTGTATCTGGGGGAGGGGGCCGGGGGTGGGGGGCGGGGCACCGGCTGTTGGATCGCAGGGGGTAGTGAGGGTGCAAAACTGCTGAGTGGAGAGACGGCTGGGCTGGGAGAGCAGGGACCTGGGGGCCTGGGCACCTGAGTCTGCGGGAGGAGGGGCTGGGCCTGGGATTCCTGGTTTGAGGGGGGCGGGGCGGAGGGGGGGGGGCTCCAGGATCCTGGGTCCGAGAGAAGCTGGAGTCCTCAGCAGGAAGGCGGGGGAACACGGGCTCCATTAGCATCCTGGGTCTTTTTCTTTCTTTCTTTCTTTTTTCTTTCTGTCTTTTTTTTAGACAACTAACATTTATTTTTTAAAAAAAATATTTTATTGATTTTTTACAGAGAGGAAGGGAGATGGATAGAGAGCTAGAAACATTGATGAGAGAGAAACATCGACCAGCTGCCTCCTGCACGCCCCCCACTGGGGATGTGCCAGCAACCAAGGTACATGCCCTTGACCGGAATCGAACCCGGGACCCTCCAGTCCGCAGGCCGACGCTCTATCCATTGAGCCACACCGGCTCTGGCATCCTGGGTCTTTTTCAAGCAGGAGGCTTGGCCCTGAGCTCTTGTCGCCCCGGGAGGAGGGGGGCTGGGCCCCGGGAGGAGCGGGGCTGGGCCGGGCCCGGTGTGACCCCGCCGCCCGCACGCAGGCTGCTGGAGAAGCGGCAGGAAGGCGCGGAGACGCTGGAGCTGAGCGCGGACGGCCGCCCGGTGGCGACGCAGACGCGGGACCCGCCGGTGGTGGACTGCACCTGCTTCGGCCTCCCGCGCCGCTACATCATCGCCATCATGAGCGGCCTGGGCTTCTGCATCAGCTTCGGCATCCGCTGCAACCTGGGCGTGGCCATCGTGTCCATGGTCAACAACAGCACGACCCACCGCAACGGCCACCTGGTGGTGCAGGTAGCGCGGGGCGGGGCCCGCACCGCCCGCGCCCGGTGACGTCACGCTGGCCCAGGCCACGCCCCCACAAACCACAGCCCGGCCCTAGCTGGTTTGGCTCAGTGATAAGAGTGTCAGCCTGCGGACTGAAGGGTCCGAGGTTCGATTCCGGCCAAGGGCATGTGCCCAGGTTACAGGCTCCATCCCCAGGGGGGAGTGCGCAGGAGGCAGCTGATCAATGATTCTCTCTCTCTATCATGTTTCTATCTCTCCCTCTCTCTTTCTCTCTGAACTCAATAAAAACATATTAAAACAAACAAGCAGAAAACCCACAGCCCGAAGAACCCCGCCCACCTGCGCTGCCCTCTTACTCTGACTTGTCTCCGGGAACCTCCTTTCCTAAGCCCCGCCCTGATCTACGGGAAGCCCCGCCCTTATTGAGTTCAGGTCCCCAATACCAAAACGTGGTCTCGGCCCAGCTTTAGGCTCCCTATATATGGCCCCTTCTTCATTTTGGGCCTCCCAGCAACTTTTGCTCCGCCTGCCTCCCACACCCGTCCCAGGGTCACATCTTCATCCCAGTCCCATCACCAGCTCCCCACTGAATTTAAAAAAATATATTTTTATTGATTTCTGAGTGGGAGAGAGAGAGATAGACACATCAATGATGAGAGAGAATCATCAATGGGCTGCCTCCTGCACGCCCCCTGCTGGAGACCGAGTCCACATCCCAGGCCTGTGCTCTGACCAGGAATCAAACCGTGACCTCCTGGTTCATGGGTTAACGCTCAATCACTGAGCCGTATCAGTTGGGCATCCCCACTGAGGTTTTTAAAAATATATTTTATTGATTTCAGAGAGGAAGGAAGAGGGAGAGAGTGACAGACATATCAGTGATGAGAGAGAATCATCGATTGGCCGCCTCCCGTATGCCCCCCAAGGGGCATCAAGCCCGCAACCCAGGGATGTGCCCTTGGCCGGAATAGAACCCGGGACCCTTCAGTCCGCAGGCCAACACTCCATCCACTGAGCCAAACCAGCCAGGGCCCCACTGAGTTTTAACCCTGACTTTTTTGAAGCTCTTCCCCTGCTAAATCCCACTTCATCTGCTCTGGCCATTACCTAAATCCCGCCTCACATCAGACTGTCTGCGTTTGTTTTTTTTTATTTTTTATTATTTTTTTTTTTTATTATATGTTGTTATTGATGTAAACATATTTACAAAGAAAGGAAGGAAGAGGGGAGAGAGGTAGAAACATTGCAACCTGGCCATGAGCCCTGACAGGGAATCAAACCTGGGAACCTCCTGGGTCCATGAGCCGATGCTCAATCCACTGAGCCACACCCACTGGGCTTTCTCCCTATTTTAATTTCAGGGTAGGCCATGCCTCTGTCTCAGAAAACAAAGATCTGATTATGGATCCCTTCCAATGTGGCCCACGCCTCTGGCTACTTCTTGGCCATGACTGGAACTCGTCCAGGTCACTGGGCAAACAGTTCCCAAGTTGGTTAGAAGAAGAGAAAGAATCGCCACCCTGGTTATGGGTCCCTAGACATTCAGAGGAGGGACACTGAGGCAGGGCAACAGGCAGACTGAGGCGTGTAGGCAGTGACAGGCCCCGTTGCTAAGACAGCACAGGCCTTAACAACGCGGAGAAGCCTGATTCTGTGTGGACCATGGGATGGCTTGAGCTCTGAAGGGCGGGACGAGAGAGGGATCCTTGTTGCGGATTGGCTAAGGGACCAAGCCTGAGGGTGCTGATTGGTGGAGGGGGGGCAAACTCCCGCGACTGGTCTGATGTGCTTTTGGGCCCACAGAAAGCTCAGTTCAACTGGGATCCGGAGACTGTTGGCCTCATACACGGCTCCTTTTTCTGGGGCTACATCGTCACCCAGATTCCCGGGGGATTCATCTGCCAAAAATTCGCAGCCAACAGGTACGGGTCGGGGTGGGGTTTGTCAAGTCGGGCGGGAGCTACAGTTGCGTGGGTGGCGTCAGAGAGTGTGGCCTGGCATTTGGGGGCAGGCTTTGGCCAATGGGAGGAGCCTGGGGGCGGGGTCTTAGAGGAGGGCGGGGCTTGTCAGAGAGAAGGTGGGGCCTGGGTGTGGGGGGAACTGGCTTCTGCTGTGGGCAGGAGAGCAGAATCCTATGCACGGGGGGTTGGGGGGGGTAGCTGAACTTTTTTTTCCGGACCACGGACTCTTCCCGTCAGGGTTTTCGGCTTTGCTATTGTTGCTACATCCACTCTAAACATGCTGATCCCCTCGGCTGCCCGCGTCCACTATGGCTGTGTCATCTTCGTGCGGATCCTGCAGGGGCTGGTGGAGGTAAAGTCCGGCCCTATGTGACCCGCGGCCCTCTGACCCCACCTCTTAAAAAAAAAATTAAAAATTATATATATTGTTTTCGAAGAGGAAGGGAGAGGGAGAGACAAATAGATACATCAATGATGAGAGAATCATTGATCCGCTGCCTCTTGCACGCCCCCTACTGGGGAATCGAACACGAAACCGGGCATGTGCCTATGGCCGGAATCGAACCCGGGAACCCGGGACTCTCAGGCCCCAGGCTGAGCAAAGCCAGCGAGGGCCAACCTCTTCCTCCCCCCAGGGGGTCACTTACCCCGCGTGCCACGGGATCTGGAGCAAGTGGGCCCCTCCCTTGGAGCGGAGTCGCCTGGCGACCACAGCCTTTTGCGGTGAGAGGAAGGGCTGGGGTTTGGAGGAGGGTCTGGAGGAGGAGGGGGCGGGGCCCCGGCCGGATATCTGTGGGCGGAGGGGCTGTGTCCTGGAAAGACGGGGCTGGGGTCCGAACCCCTGGATCCGGGGGCGGGGAGCTAGGTCCGCTCTCTCCCCCGCACCCCCCCCCCCCCAGGCTCCTACGCCGGCGCCGTGGTGGCCATGCCCCTGGCCGGGGTGCTGGTGCAGTACTCGGGCTGGAGCTCCGTGTTCTACGTCTACGGTGAGCGCCCCGGGCGCCGGGGTGGTGGTGGGGGCGCCGGGTCCGAGCGAGGCCGGCCGGGCGTCACCTCGCCTCCATCGCCCTCCTGACACCCCCAGGCAGCTTCGGGATCTTCTGGTACCTGTTCTGGCTGCTCGTCTCCTACGAGTCCCCGGCGCTGCACCCCAGCATTTCGGAGGAGGAGCGCAAGTACATCGAGGAGGCCATCGGCGAGAGCGCCAAACTCATGAACCCGCTCACGGTCCGAGCCAGGCCCTGGCAGGGCGCGGGGCGGGGGGACCCCGGCGGGGAGGCGGGAGGACGGGGGCTTAGGACCCACAATGAATGTGTAAGGTCCGCGGTGCGTCCCCGATTCAGAGACCCAATGGGAACGCCCGGCGGGCGGGGCTAGACCCTGGGGGGCGGGACCAACGACCGATTAGCATGCGCTGGGGCGGGGCTAGGTCGCCGGCTGGGCGGGGCCGCCGGTGGGCGTGGTCATCCCGGCAGAGGCGGGGTTTTGCTTAGACACTGTGGGGTTTTACTAGGGTGAGGCTGGCTTCAGGAGTCCTTATTGAATGGGAAGCTTCCCGGGCCCACACTCAGGGGTCCCTGAGGGCCATCGGGTCCAGACACATGCGAACCTGAGGGGCCGCTGCAAACCAGGAGCCTGCATCCCTGAAGGGTCACTAAGGGGCTGGGATGCAGGGCCCCGCAGGGACATGGGGGGCGCCCCTGAGCCCCTAGAGGGTTGTTATTTATTTATTTATTTATTTATTTATTTATTTATTTATTTAATATACAGAGAGGAAGGGAGAGGCCTAGAGAGCTAGAAACATCGATGAGACAGAAATATCCACTAGCTGCCTCCTGCACACCCCTACCTGGGATGTGCCCGCAACAAATGTACATGCCCTTGACGGGAATCGAACCTGGGACCTTTCAGCCCGCAAGCCCATGAGCCAAACCGGTTCCGGCGCACCTGGAGGCTTTAATGCAGAGGGGGAACCTGGGTCCCGGTAGGGAGGCTCCTGAAGGGACATGGGAGCCCCTGGGTCCTGCCTCAGCGGCCCCTGCTCTTGCCCCCGCCCCCCACAGAAGTTTAAGGCTCCCTGGCGGCGCTTCTTCACCTCCATGCCCGTCTACGCCATCATCGTGGCCAACTTCTGCCGCAGCTGGACCTTCTACCTGCTGCTCATCTCCCAGCCCGCCTACTTCGAGGAAGTGTTCGGCTTCGAGATCAGCAAGGTTGGGCCCGGGGGCGGGGGAGGGCGGGCAGGGGCGCAGCGGGGTGAAGAGGGGAGGGGTGGGGAGAAGAGGGGTGGGGAGAGAAGGGGTGGAAAGGGGAGAGGTGGGGAGAGGAGGGGTGGAGAGGGGAGAGGTGGAGAGGGGAGGGGTGGGGAGAGGAGGGGTGGAGAGGGGAGAGGAGGGGAGGTGGAGAGGGGAGGGGTGGGGAGAGGAGGGGTGGAGAGGGGAGGGGTGGAGAGGGGAGGGGAGGGGTGGGGAGAGGAGGGGTGGGGAGAGGAGGGGAGAGGAGGGGTGGGGAGGGGAGGGGTGGGAGTGAGGGACCAGGAGGAGCCGGCGGAGGCAGGGACGGGCAGAGCCCCGTGGGCGGCCCTGAGCGCCGGCCCTGCCCTCCCGCCGCGCAGGTGGGCCTGGTGTCGGCGCTGCCCCACCTGGTCATGACCATCATCGTGCCCATCGGCGGCCAGATCGCCGACTTCCTCCGCACCCGCCGCATCATGTCCACCACCAACGTGCGCAAGCTGATGAACTGCGGCGGTGAGTGCGCCTCCGGGGCAGAGACGGACCTCGCTGGGCTGGAGGAGCGGGGTCCACACGGGACAGGGCGGGTGCACGGAAAGGAGGGGACGGAGAGGGGCTGGGAGACGGGGTTCAGGCGGCTGCTGTCCTAGGGGTGTGGACAGAGAGGGAAGGTGTGCAGGTGCAGGGATGGGGCTCGGACCCGGTATCTTTGGGGCGTGGTCTAGTCAGGGGGTGGGGCCACCTTGGGCCCAGCGGAGGCGCTGGAGTTTGTGCCCCCAGCCCCTCCTCCCTCAGACCCTCCTCCCTCAGACCCAGGGGTCCGGGCCCCCAGCCCCTCCTCCCTCAGCCCCTCCTCTCTCAGGCCAGGAGCCCAGGCCTCCAGCCCCTCCTCCCTCAGACCCAGGGGTCCGGGCCCCCAGCCCCTCCTCCCTCAGCCCCTCCTCCCTCAGACCCAGGCCCCCAGCCCCTCCTCCCTCAGACCCAGGCCCCCAGCCCCTCCTCCCTCAGACCCAGGGGTCCAGGCCCCCAGCCCCTCCTCCCTCAGACCCAGGCCCCAGCCCCTCCTCCCTCAGACCCAGGGGTCCAGGCCTCCAGCCCTCCTCCCTCAGACCCAGGGGTCCAGGCCCCCAGCCCCTCCTCCCTCAGACCCAGGAGTCCAGGCCCCCAGCCCCTCCTCCCTCAGACCCAGGCCCCAGCCCCTCCTCCCTCAGACCCAGGGGTCCAGGCCTCCAGCCCTCCTCCCTCAGACCCAGGGGTCCGGGCCCCCAGCCCCTCCTCCCTCAGACCCAGGGGTCCGGGCCCCCAGCCCCTCCTCCCTCAGACCCAGGGGTCCGGGCCCCCAGCCCCTCCTCCCGGTGAGGACCAGGCCTGGAGCGGACGGAGGCGGAGGCGGGTGGGGGGATCAGGTCTGGGGTGACGGCTCAGGGCAGCCCCACCTCCCAGGCTTCGGCATGGAGGCCACGCTGCTGCTGGTGGTCGGCTACTCGCACTCCAAGGGCGTGGCCATCTCCTTCCTGGTCCTCGCCGTGGGCTTCAGCGGCTTCGCCATCTCCGGTGAGGCCGGCGGGCGGCGGCCCGGGATGGGGCTGCGCGGGGGGAGCTTCTGGCTCAGGAAGGGGCCTCCCAGCGGGAAGCGGGGTGAGGACGGCTCTGATGGGTCCGCCGGCGCCTCTCCTCAGGCTTCAACGTGAACCACCTGGACATCGCCCCGCGCTACGCCAGCATCCTCATGGGCATCTCCAACGGCGTGGGCACGCTGTCGGGCATGGTGTGCCCCATCATCGTGGGCGCCATGACCAAGCACAAGGTGGGAGCACGGGCCCTGCCCCACTGCCCTCCGCCTCCGGGCTCCGTGCCTCCCTGATGCGGACGGCCTCTCTCTGGGTCTGTCTCCCTCTCTCTGGGCCTCCCCCACTCCTCTAAAACCTCTCTCTCTCTCTCAAATATATTTCTATTTATTAAAGTATATTTTTTGCCGAAACTGGTTTGGCTCAGGGGATAGAGCGTCAGCCTGCGGAATGCAAGGTCCCAGGTTCGATTCCGGTCAAGGGGCATGTACCTTAGTTGCGGGCACATCCCCAGTGGGGGGGGGGGAGGATGCAGGAGGCAACTGATCGATGTTTCTAGCTTTCTATCCCTCTCCCTTCCTCTCTGTGAAAACGCAATAAAATATATTTAAAAAAAATAATAAAGTATGTTTTTATTGATTTCAGAGAGGAAGGGGGAGGGAGAGAGAGAAAAACATCAACGATGAGAGAGAATCATTAATCAGCTGCTTCCTGCAGGCCCCCCCTGGGGATGGAGCCCCGGGCAGGTGCCCTTGGCTGGAATCGAGCCTGGGACCCCTCAGTCCGCAGGCCGACGCTCTACCCACTGGGCCACACCGGCCAGGGTTAAACCTCTCTCTTCCGGTCCCCGTTCCCCTGGCCTCCACAGACCCGGGAGGAGTGGCAGTACGTGTTCCTCATCGCCTCGCTGGTGCACTACGGCGGCGTCATCTTCTACGGGGTCTTCGCCTCCGGGGAGAAGCAGCCGTGGGCGGAGCCCGAGGAGATGAGCGAGGAGAAGTGCGGCTTCGTGGGCCACGACCAGCTGGCCGGCAGCGACGAGAGCGACGTGGAGGACGAGGCCGAGCCCCCGGGGGCCCCGCCGGCCCCCCCGCCCTCCTACGGCGCCATCCACAGCACCGCCCAGCCCCCCCGGCCCCCGCCCCCGGCCCGGGACTACTGATCCTGTCTGTGCCTCCCGCGGGGGGCAGTTTCCAGAAGCTCCGTCCGCAGCCTCTGGCCCGGGGGACGGCAAGCGGGAACCCGGGCCTGGCGTCCTGCCTGGGGCCTGGGGCAGCTCCTCCTCCGCTCCCCGTGCTGTCCACCCTCCTCCCCTCCCCATCGCCCGAAGCTGCGGGCGGCGGTTCCAAGGACGCCCAGCCTCCCCTAAGGGTCCTCTCTAGCGCTCGTTTTGCCTCGATGGTCTCAGACCTCTCCGGTCAGGGCTTTGTTTCAGTGGACAGTCCAGTCTCTCGCTCTCTCGCGTGGTTTTTGAGGCAACTCCCCCCCCCCTCCTCTCACCCCAGGGGCCCTGAGTTACTCGGCCCCGCTCTTTGCTCAGAAAAAAATCAAGGTCTTCCTCTGGAGGTTTCCAATCTCGCCTAAATCTATTCTGCATTTTTTTTTCCAGGTTGGTTTAGCCAATCACGGCACCCCCCCCCCCACTATTTTAGAGATCGATTCTCACCAGCGTTTCTGAGGGGAAATGGTGGTTTCAAGACCCCCCCTCCTACTCCCCCCCCCCCCAGCAGATTCTGCTGAGACACCAAATCCCCCAAGACCTTCTCCTTGCTCAGCCCCACGTCCAGGGGAACAGCCCCGTCGGCAGGTTCTCCGTACGCCTCGCGCCACCCCATGCACTTTTCTGACAGTCTTCAGGGTCAAACAGTGGCTGCTCAAGTTCATCAGTGTGTGAAGCCACCACATTGAACGTCCCCCGGTGGTTTCAACACGTGTCCCCCCGCCCGCCCGCCCCCAGTTCCTTGCACTTTATTCTCCTGGGTGGTTCGCACCGCCCTCGTTTTCTCAGTGGCCATTGGTCGGGTCCCTCAGGGGCTAAATGACTCAAAATCTGGGATGCTACCCTTCCAGACACCTCTCTTTGGGCTTAGAATTTGGGGAAAATATATATAAATATATATATAAAGAGAAGTCACAGAGTTCCAGGAAAGGGAAAAAAGGGGGGCTGGGGCGAGAGGTGTTTTCCCCCGGGGCAGGGGGTGTCTGTGTGTCTGTCTGTGACTGTGAAGCCTGCCCTGCCCCATCCCAATAAAGTGCTTTGGTGTACACGCCCGGTCCTCGTCATTGGGGCGGCGGCCGTGGGGAGTCCGGGGCCCCAGCCCTGTCCTGCAGCCCCGGTGTTCGAGGCCCTCCTCCCCCAGGAATGAGGCGGGAGCAGGAGACCGGTGAGGGGCGGAACACGTGCTTTATTGGCCCCAGGGAAGGCGCCAGCGGAGAGCACGGCTCTGCAGCACAGCATCCGGGAGGGGGGTGTCTGAGGACGGCGCCCCCTGGAGGGCACCGAGGGGCTCGCTCACACGAAGCTGTCGGGCAGCGAGGCGGGGGAGAGCGGCTCCAGGCGCTGCGGGCGGCCCCCGCGCGGCGGCGGGGGCAGCTTGGGCGGCAGCGGAGGGGTGGGCGGCGGCTGCTTGGTGGAGATGTGCGAAGGGATCCAGGCATCCGGCGCGTAGAAGTAGAGGTCGTACGGCTCCTTGGGGGCGTCCAAGTGCAGGGCTGTGGGGGCACAGGGGCAGGGTCACCCCGGGGCTGGCCAGGAAGGAGCCGGCCCCCGCCCGCTGGGCCGCTGGCGAAGGAGGGGGCGGGAGAGAGGATGCTGACCGCCCCGAGGAGCTGGGTTTTCACACCAAAAGGGCGAGGGGAGGGCCCTTAAGTAGGTGAGGGAAGCGCCTCTGCGCAATGAGGGCGGGGCTTGATGCGGAGAGGGCGGGGCTTGCAGAGCTCCTGGTGGGCAGGGGGCGGGGTTTGACACAGAGGGCGGGGCTTGCAGGGCTCCTGGCGGGCAGGGGCGGGGCTTTCCATGGAGAGGGCGGGGCTTGCAGGACTCCTGGCGGGCAGGGGGGTTTGCAGGGACCTGTAGCTGGGGTCCTGTGTGTGAAATCTCAGAGAAATGGGGGGCAGGACCTGACCATGGAGGGGTCAGGGCTTCTGTTGACCTTGGATACGGGGGACCTGTACGTCTTGGCCGGGAGCCCTAAAGTGCCAGGTGAGCCGAAACCGGTTTGGCTCGGTGGCTAGAGCGTTGGCCTGCAGACTGAGAGGTCCCAGGTTCAATTCCGGTCAAGGGCATGTGCATTGGTTGCGGGCACATCCCCAGTGGGGGTTGTGCAGGAGGCAGCTGGTCGATGTTCCTCTCTCGTTGATGTTTCTAGCTCTCTCTCCCTCTCCCTTCCTCTCTGTAAAAAAATCAATAAAAATATATATATATTTAAAAATAAATAAAGCGCCAGGTGACACCGGGGAAAGGAAACGGGCTGGCAGTCAGGGCGGGCGCTGTCAGGGTCGCTCACCCGACTCATCGCCATCGTTTGGAAGCCGGTGGTGCGCGAAGGGCCGGTGCCGGGCCGCCCGGCGGTAGAGACACCACAGCAGCAGGAAAATGCCGATCAGCAGGCCCGTCCCGGCGAAGAAGAGGCACAGGGCCCCTCCCGCCCCGCCCCGGGGGCGGCCCACCAGGGTCACACCTGAAGGAAGGAGCCCGGCAATAAGTACCCTAAACTCCAGCCCTCCTCCCTCAGACCCAGGGGTCCAGGCCCCCAGCCCTCCTCCCTCAGACCCAGGGGTCCAGGCCCCCAGCCCCTCCTCCCTCAGACCCAGGCCCCCAGCCCCTCCTCCCTCAGACCCGGGTCCGGGTCCCAGCCCCTCACCGGTCTCCTTCACGCGTTCCACCAGGATGATGGTGTTGACTCTCTCACCTCGGCTGCGCCGCTGGGGGGCCCGCAGAGTGGCAGGAGCCAGCTGACTGGGGGGCCCTGGAGGAGCAGGGGGGCCCGGGATCCGGGAGGACGGGAGAGCGGCATCTGGCCCTTCAGGGCTGGAGCTCTGGGGGGCCTTGGGCTCGGCAGTCCCGGGAGACCCTGAGGTGGGCAGTGTACGGGAGCTGGGCCGGGTGGCCGCAGGGGGTTCTGGCTCGGGGTCCAGGGGCGGCCCCTGCGGGGCAGTAGCTTGGTCCCCGGAGGGTGCGGGCGTGTCTGGGTGAAGACGGGGGGAGGTCTCAGGGCCTGAGTCCCTGGCGATCTCTGCGGCATCTTGGGAGTGGGCCGTGGGGAGTTTTGACGGGGGAATGTCAGCGGGGCCGGGGTGGTGGGTCGCATGGGATTCTGGGTCGGGGGCATCAGTAGGGTTGGGGTGCAGGGTCTGAGGGAATTCAGTGTTCGGGGTCTCAGTGGTGTTGGGCTCACGGGCTTTTGGAGTTTCGGGGTGAAGGGCTCCGGTGGGGTCAGGGTCCGGTGGGCCTGCCTGTGGGATTTCAGAGGCTTTAAGCGTGGGAACGCCTGGGGATTCCTGGGGTGGCATTTGGGGAGGGTCAGGGTTCAGGGTCCCAGGAAACTCTGGGTGCGAGGTTGTGGGGGAATCAGGTGTGGGGGCCTCAGGGGGGTCTGGGTGTGGGATCTCAGGCAGGCCAGGCGTGGGGGGCTCCGAAGGTTCCGGATGGGTCACTTGGGAGGGGCTGATTTCGGGGTTCTCCGGGGCTTCTGACGTGGAGGTGCTGAGTGAGTTGGGCTTGGGGGCCTCCGGAGGCTCTGGGTGTGCGAGGTCTTGGAGGTCAGGGTTGGGGGTGTCAGTGACGTTAAGGGGAGAGGACTCGGGGGAACCGGAAGGAGGCGCCCTGGAGGGCTCGGGAGCCGCTGTCCCGGATTCCGGGGGAGGCGGGTGGAGAGGGGCGTTTGCCGAAGGAGGGAGGACGGGGTCCGAGGGGAGGCCCATCCCCGGGAAGTCGGAGCCCGCCGCTGGTGAGGCCGATGGCGCGGCCCTGGAACCCCGCCCGGCGAGGAGGAAGACGAGGAGGAGCAGAGGGCGGAAGGCGGTCATGGCTCCGGAGGGAGGACTCCTGTCGCTGCCGGGGAGCAGGGAGGCCGGGACTCAGGCAGGAAGCGCCCCGAGTCCCTGCCCCGCCCCGAGGCCACGCCCACACAGAGGCCACGCCTACTCAGAGAGACCACGCCCATTTCCCGGAGGCCACGCCCACTGGTCCCCAGGCGCACCCCTGCCCCTGCCAGGCTGGTCCCAGGAAAGCAGAGCCTCACTGCGCGTCCCTGAAGGCTGGGGCATTGGCCGCCGTAGCTAAGGGACACGGGCGCGGGGCTTCTTGGGAGTCGTAGTTAATTTCCTTATCTGTTTCCCCAAGGGGGTCCCAGAAAAATTGGGGGGAAATGACACCTCTCTAAGTCCCCAGACCCCCTCAACCTCGACTTCGGAGGATGTAGATCTCTGAATGAACCGGGGTTACCTTCCTCTCCGAGCGGGCCCCCCCGTCCCCCCCCCCCCCCACCTGGACTCCCAGTTGTTTACATCTGGAGGCTCAGAAGGAAGGACTGGGGCTGGGCCTGGGGCTGAACCCCTGGATCGGAGGGAGGAGGGAGACTCTTGGTCTGCTGGGGGGGGGGGGTGTCAGACTCCCAATTCCCAGAGGCTGGAGGGCCCTGTGGGTCTCAATTCCTGCTTCTTTGGAGAGAAGCCAGAAGGTTCAGATGCTGGGGATTTTGCGGGAGCCAGGCTGGGGGGGCCGGGTTATCCGGGAGAAGGACATGGGATCCTGAGCGAGAAAGTTAGGAACTCTGAGTCTCGGGTCTTCCAGAGAGAGGGGTGTGGGGGGCGGGATTGAACTCCTCAGACTCCTGGGGGACTCAGGTCTCCGTTACCTGAGGATGGAGCTTAGATTTCAGGGTCTTGCTCAGGGGCTGCCTGTGGTCAGGTGGAGGTGGGCTTGGGGGACACCTGGCTGGGACAGAGTCTCGTGGGGCCCTGGGCCTCCTACCTGTTCAGGAGGGTCCAAGATGACAGCAGGAGAGCAGAGCGGGGCGCAGGGACCAGTGAGTGCTGCAGGATGGCTCTGGGTGGGGCTGCAGGAGGGAGGGAGGGTCCCAGGGCGCAGGTGAGGCACCTGACTCCCTCCCTGGGGATCCTGGGAGCCTAGCGACAAGCTTGAGATCTTAAAGGGACAGAGCTAAAGTGCATTGTCTCCGGTCCTGACCGGTTTGCTCAGTGGCTAGAGGGTCAGCCTGCAGACCTAAGGGCTGTGGCTTAGATTCCTGGTCAAGAGCACGCACATACTTCGCTATATGTTTCCCCAGCCCCAGGCTGGGGCACATGCAGGAGGCAGCTAACAGATACGTCTCTCTCATCTATGTTCCTCTCTCCCTCCTCCCTCCTTCCACTCTCTCTAGAAGTCAACGGGGAAAAAGCTCATTGTCTCTAGAGCGGGGAAGGGAGTTAGATGATCTGGCCTAACCAAATGGAAGTCCCTGGTGCCATCCTATGCCAAGACCCAGGAGCCAGGCCCCTCAGCCCCTTCTCCTCAGAGCCTACCGGAATCCAGGAATCCAAACCAGGAGCCGGAGCCCCCGCCCTGGCCCCCTACCTTCCCGGGACCCAGAGGCCAGCTTCCCACATCTTGCCAGCTTGCTACTGCCTTTGGGAAGTCCCAACCTTTACCCGCCTCCCCGCTGTGTAGAGTGCACCCTCTTAATAGGGTGGGTGTGGACTGGGGTTTATCTTCGTGACACCCCCCCCTCCCCCCCCCCTCCCGAAGGGCCAGGCACATCTCCGGGGCAGCTCGGGGCCCTGTCCCTTTCCCCACCTCCCCGGGGCTCTGGAAGACTTTCGTGTCATTTAAAAAAATATATATATATATATTTTATTGATTTTCCACAGAGAGGAAGGGAGAGAGATAGAGAGCTAGAAACGTCGATGAGAGAGAAACATCAACCAGCAGCCTCCTGCACACCCCCCACTGGAGATGTGTCCTCAACCAATGTACACGCCCTTGACCGGAATCGAACCTGGGACCTTTCAGTCCGCAGGCCAACGCTCTATCCACTGAGCCAAACCGGTGTCGGCTTTCCTGTCATTTTTCCTGCCTCCACACCCTACCACACAACCCTTTGTTTCCTCTTCCCTGTCTTACACTCTCTGATTCTCTCCTTGCCGGGATTTATTTATCTCTGGGCATTTCTGTCCAGCTGGCTGTCCTTCCATTTCCTTCTATCTTTCCCTCTTCTCTAGCTGGCCCTCTTTGTCCATTTCCTTTCCCTTTCCTTCTTCCTCTTTTTTCCTTCTTCTGTCCTTCCTTCCCACGGTTACTTCACCTCTTTGTGTCTGCTTCTCCCCATCAATTCCTCCCTGTGGCTTTTCCGGTCTCTCTCTCTCTGTGTCTCTGGCTTCTGCGCTGATGGTCCCTCTGCCCGTCTCTATTTTTATCCCTCTGACACACCCCCTCGCGTCCACCCCTCTGTCTGTCCGTCTCCCCCCTCCCGCTTCCAGCTCAGGACCCAGCTCCGGGTCCCAATTAGTTGATCTCCGCCAAGGCAGCGGCGGGGCCCCCACCCCCGGCGCCTCGTTACAGCCGGCGGCTCCTAATGAGCCTGGGGGAGGCTGACCCCACGCCCCGGCCCCCGGGCTGCGTCACTGCCCGCCGGCTGCGGGGCTGCGGGGGCTGCGGGAGGGATATAAGGGGCTGCGGGCCTGGCTGCCCCAGTCCACGGCGCGGTAGGGGCCCTGGGGTCTGGCTGCTGCGGGGCGTGGGTGGGAGCACTCTGGGGCTCGGGGCCAGGCCGCCGGCCTCACGGAGCCCTTCCCGGTTTCTCCCTCCACAGGTGATGGAGGCTCGCCAGGTGCCCCGGAGCTCCCGGGCGCGGGTCCTGCTGCTGCTGCTGCTGCTGCTGCTCGTGCCCTGGGGCGCCCGCACCGCCTCGGGCGCCGCCCTGCCCCCCGCGGGGATCCTCAGGTATGTGCGCGGGGGGCGCCCAGAACTCCCAGGGAGCGGGGAGGGACGAAGGGGACCACAGGAGAAGGGAACAGAGGCGCAGAGAGGGCGGCAGAGACCAGGAAAGAGGACAGAGACTAGGGGCGAGTAGAGATGCGGGTGGACAGGGAAGCAGCCAGAGATACAAAAGGATACGGGCTGGGGAAGGCCTTGAGGGACTTAAAAAGGAGTCAGCCCAAACCGGTGTGGCTCAGTGGATAGACCGTCGGCCTGCGGACTGAGGGGTCCCAGGTTCGATTCCCGTCAAGGGCATGCACCTTGGTTGCAGGCACATCCCCAGTAGGGGGTGTGCAGGAGGCAGCTGGTCGATGATTCTCTCTATCGATATTTCTATCTATTTATCCCTCTCCCTTCCTCTCTGTGAAAAAATCGGTAAAATATATCTTTTTAAAAAAAGAGTCAAAGCAGAACTGGGGTCGCTCCTTGAACCCGGTTACTGGGTTCTCGGGATGCGCTGGGCGGAGGCAGGCCAGGGCATCAGGCTGTCTGTGCGCTCAGAGCCCGGAAGCCGGAGAGAGAGACAGAGACCCACGCGGAGCACAAGGGCAGAGGTCGGAGACCGGGCCGCCCACGGACGGCGCAGCAACCGGGCTTCGAGTCAGACCTCGAGGAGGACAGGGGTGGCGGGCGGAGGCCGGGGCCCGCGCTGACCGCGCCTCTCCGTCCCCGCAGCCCCCGTGGCCCCGGCGCAGCCCGGGCGGCCCCGGCCGGCCCCCCGCGGCGCAGCCTGGCCCTGGCGGACGACGCGGCCTTCCGGGAGCGCGCGCGGCTGCTGGCCGCCCTGGAGCGCCGCCGCTGGCTGGACTCCTACATGCACAGGCTGCTGGTGCTGGACGCGCGCTGAGCCTGGAAATGCCAATAAAGGCCCTACTGTGCGCCAGGCTCCGCCTCCTTCCTGCGGGTGTGTGCGTGCATTTGTGTGCGTGTGCGTGTGCGTGTGTGTGTGTGTGCGCGTGTGTGTGAGCGTGTGTGTATGTGTGTGTGTGTGTGTGTGTTAGGGGACGGGTTGTGGGGGGGAGCGGGCCCAGCACCGCCTCCGTCCCCTTTCCCGCCCTAAAAAATGACCCTCCATTCATGTATAGCCCCCTCTCCATCTCTGCTCTGTTCGCCCCGCCCTGTAATTTGCACCTCGTTCTGAGCCTGTTCCTCCCCCTCCCCCAGGCCCTGTTCTCTCTGGGTTTCTGTCCCCATTTCTCTCCCAGGTCACTGCCCCTTCTCTGGGGCTCTGTCGCTCTGGGTATCTGTCCTCCCTCCTCGGAGTCTCCGTACTTCTCTTTCACCTGGGAATCTCTAGCTCTCTCTTCTTGCTGCCCCTAAAAGTCTTCCATTCTTCATCACTTTTTTTCTCTCTGCCTGACTCCTTCATGTCCCATTTTCTCCCTTTGGCTCTCCGTCTCACTTCCTTCCAGCGCTCACTAGTTTCTAAATTCCCCATTCCCTTCTGTGGGCACAGGGGCGACCCGGGACTCCGATGTGAGCTGCACCTGCCCTTGAAGACCAGGCTCCCCAAAGGTCGCTGTGCGGTATCGGAAAGGGCTTAACCTCCGAGTCAGACACTAGGAGGACTTCAGGACTGCGCCCCGCGCGAATCGAACGTTTTGATAGGAAGGGGTTTCCCCCTCTCGAAACAGCGTCCAGCAGCTTCTTCAGGGCTTTCTGTGTCTTCAGGGGAGGCCATCGGAGCGGCAGGTTGGGGCGGGAAAAGGGAGGGAACCAGTAATCAGGCTCTCGGAGTCCTGGGCGGGGCGGGGAGACACCTGGCTGCCAGGGAAGAAGGCAGCCAATCAGAACCCGCCTTTCTGGAGCCTCGGCCAGCCCGTCGGCCCCGCCCAAGGTGACTGACAGCCTCCTGTTCTCAGCCGCCCTGGGCGCGGCTCGCGCGGACCGCGCTGTGATTGGTCTCGCGAAAGGGGGAAGCTGGGCGTGGCCGCCAACGGGAAGGGGGCGGGGCGGACTCGGTGATTGGCAAGCTCTCCCATAATTTGCACCGCGCCGTCATTGCCCTTCGGGCCACGAGGAGTGTCTGTTTCTAAGATAACTGGAATCTTCCAAATCATCCAGAATTGGCCCAATTTTACAAACAAGACTCTGAAAGTCACGACTAATTCCCCAAGTTGCCAGCGCTAACAAAGCACAGGATTGCTGGAACCCAACCTGTGCACCTTCAGAGTAAACCTTCCCACTCTGCTGATGGAGAAATGGAGTTACACTCTTACAAGCAGTGACCATACGCCGGGCCCTCTTCTGGACACTGTGCTGGAGGGCAGGGTCCTGCCTGTACCCTTCCCACACTCCACTTCCTCCGAGATCGCCAGGGCGGGTAACACCCGGACCTCCCATTCCAGACTGAGGCTCAGCGCTCCAGCCACCCTTGGAACCCTGACGCCCACCCCATCCTCTGTGAGCTCCTTCTCATAGGCTCCCCATCTTGGGGATGCCTCAGTCTGAGCCACTGGGTGAGGCACTGGCCTTGTCCTTCCTCTTCCCCTGCCTCACAGCCTGTCAGTGCCACCCGCACACCAGGTCCCGCTCAGACCTCCCCTCCCACCTGGGCCCCAGCCCCAGCCTCACCCCATTTCTCCTCCCCAGTGCAGGCTCGGTCTCTTTTCCACTCCGCGCTGATTCTGTCCCTTCTCTGCTCGCAGCCCTTTCTTGGGCACTTAGGAATCAAGTTCATGCTGGTGTCAGAAACCCTCATGGGCTCTTGCCCACCTCTCTGTCTTAATTTCACCATCTGTAGCCTCCAATTCTTCCTGGCTCCAAATCATTTTCTTGTCATTAAATTTTTAAAAATATGTATTTATTGATTTCAAAGAGGAAGGGCGAAGGAGAGAAAAGCATTCGTACTGAGGGAGCACCACTGATTGGCTGCCTCACGGGTCGAGCCCTCAACCCTGGCAGGCGCCCAGACCAGGAATGAGCTGTGACCTCCTGGTTCACAGGCTGACAACCACTGAGCCACGCTGGCCGTGCTCTTCGCTTTACTCCCAGCAGCGCGGTGCTGCCTGTGGCTCTCACACGGAGGGTCCTTCCCAGCCCCTGGTCTTCACACACATTTACTTCCTCTGCCAGCAGCTTCCTCCTCAGCCCCTGCTCAGGGTAACCAGCGTCACCCCCCTTTCAAGACTACACGGGTGGATGGATCTGGGGAGAAACCTCTCGCCTCCAGGCTGAGTTGGGTGCCTTTTGGGGGACCCACCCTTGCCCAAAACCTCCCAGGGAGGCCTCTGTGGTGCTGAAACCAGTCTTATCTTGACCTGGGTCGGGTTTTAGTTTCAAATGTTTACACATGCAGAAATTCATCCAGCTGATAAAGATTTGTCCATTTATCTGTATGTAAGTTACACCTCAACGAAGACATAAATAACCAAAAACAAGCAACAAAACCCCCCAAACCTCCCATCACCCCGGGGAAACGCACGCTCCTCGGCTGACGCGGGGCCTGTTCTCTGCAGCACTATCTTTTAAGGCCCAGCCGTGGCAGCTGTGCTTGTGGGTGACAAATGGTGCACTTCCTGCTGGCCCTCTGCAGGGCAGACAGACACCTGTGCTGTGCCTGTCCACACCGCCTCCCCCTCCCCGCCAGGAGAGGTGCTGGGTCTCCTTGCAGCGAGGGCGAGGATGCCCAACAGTCCGGCCAACAGGACATAAACACAGGCCCGCAGCTGCTCTGGGAAGGCTCTGCTTTTCTTCATAAAAAAGCGCTCATCACCTCTCCGCAGAGATGATGGGTGAAGCCACAAGGGCCGCCATCCCGGAGCAGGAGGGAAGGGCCAGGAGGGTCATAGCAGCTGTGGGCCTCGTGCTGTTCTCCAGGCTCCTTTGTGAGGAAATAAATCCCTAGCACTTGCTCCATTATTGGGAGTGTTTCGCTATTATAAAGAAATGTAGTAAAAAACATCACAAAACCAAGAGATGTCACATAAAGACCCCATTCCGGGGTATGGACTCGAGTACTGAACTGCATCTGGGGTCTCGCTAACAGTGGCACAACAATAGGAACCACCGAGAAATTCGCTGAACTGGACATTGCTGAGGGGCGGGGAGCTTGGCTCACACTGGCGGGGGGCCGAGGTAGCAGAGCTGGAGGTGGGGCCAGGTGGGGGGCGGGGGCTGGCCCAGCAGCAGGACGGAGAGCAGCAGCAGCAGCAGGAAACCCAGGACGGGAGTGGGAATCAGCGGCTGCCGCGTGACCCTGTGGGGTGGCAGGATGGCGCTTAGGGCAGGGCCGGGGGGTCTGTGTCCCGATGACTGACCACCACCTTCCTTTTGGGGAGGCCATGGGGCTCACCTGAGCTGCTGGGGTTGGGGGTGCAGGGGGCACAGGCAGAAGTGGCTCCAGACTGGCCTCCTAACTGGAACCAGCTTCCTCTCCACAGGCACCAGCGCGTGCTGTAGGTCTGGCTGGGAGGGGCTGCTGGGGGGAGGAGGCAGGCAGTCACACTGCACCTTGTCCCCGGGTCCCTCCCAGGCCTGTGTCCTCGTACCTCTCAGGAGGGCTTCTTGGAATGTCTCCAGGGGGAGGGTCTCCCGGAAGGATGGAGAGATCAGCCTGGAAGGACAGGGGAGATGACAAACTTGGGACAGGGGGTCCCGGCAGAGTGACCTCATGGAAGGGGGTGGAACAGTGAATGAATGGCTCAGTGTGAGCTTCCCCAAAACACACTGCCAGTTGGGGTCCAAGCTCTGCCAGCTTCTGGCCTGTGCCCTTTGGCACATCACCCCACCTCTCCACGCCCCGCTGTCCCCACCTGCTGGACAGGGGTGAGGACAGGGCCCACCTCACAGGCCTAAGTGGAAACTGAGTGAATTCAGGTTAAAAAAGTGGGTGTGGGCTCAGAACAGAGCTGGCACATAGTGAGTGCCCGATAACGGTGTGAGCTGTTCAATTTGATTAGTTCCACTTCCACTGGATTCTGAAGTGTCCAACGGCAATAAAAAGACAGAATAAATAACCAATAACAGAACACCAGTTACCACCTTCACCACTGCCACCTACTGCGTCAGGCCTGCTCGGTGAAGGCCTGGGGCCAGGCCCTTTCTGGCAGGATCCCTAACCCTCACCCACCGAGAGCCGGGGAGGGTCCTCACCCCGCCCGCCCGCCCGCCCGAGGACACGGGGGACCGGGCTCCACAGAGGGTGCGGCGGGAGGGAGGTGGGCTCTGCATTCGGCTGCTCAGAGCCCATGTGGGGTGGTCGGACCCTGCAGGGTCCGGGAGCCTGAGCAGAGCCTGGCACACACTCCGGCTCTCACCCCCCCAGCCAAGGCTGCAGGCTCCTCCCTCACGTCACTTTCCCCTCCCTCCCTCCCTTTCCTTGTCTGGGAACGGGACTGAAAAAGCACAGGGCCTGGCCCTTTCCTGTGTGTGGGCGCATGTGCGTGTGCATTTTCGCAATCCGGGGGTGTAGCCGTGTCAGTGAGGCCGGTGGCGTGGCGGCTGCAGCCTTGTGTGCGCTTGGGAGGGGGTCCCCTGGGAGCGTTCTGGCCGCCCACTAGCCCGCAGGCCACCACCCTCAGCACCATCCGCTCTCATTAGCTACAGGAGGGCCTTGTTATCTCGGCCAAACGATTTTCTGTCTGCGCAGGGAAGTGAGGGCGCAGCGGCAGCTGGGAGGAGCTGTGAGGACACCAGTCCCTCCAAGGGCCGGAGCGGATGGGGACTGGGGAGGGGTGCTGGGGACTGCCTACCGTGACGTGGATCTCCGTTTCCTCCTCTTCCTCTCTTCTGGGCAACCTGGGGCAACAACAACGTCACTGCAAGCGTCTTCCCTCTGCCTGTGAGGGGCTCAGGGGACCTCCCAGCTGGGGCCCTGAGGGCAATGGACCCGGATCTGTGGCCAAAGAGGGTGCGAGGGCCTCTCCATCTCACCGGCTTCCTCGGGCTCCGTGATGCCCCGAGGACCGAGCTTCCAGCTCTCACCCCCAAGCACCACGGCTCAGACCAGGGCCCGCGGGACCCTGCCCCGGCTTCCTACCCGCTGGGCGCGCCGTTTTCACAGCCTCAGTCTTACTGGATCTTTTTTCATGACTTGGACTCCAGAACCCAACCATGGAAGGCCCACTGCCATCCCAGGCCATTTCTCTCCGTGTGTGTGTGTGTGTGTGTGTGTGTGTGTGTGTGTGAGCGAGCCCCAGCCTCTGCCCCACCGAGGCTCCAGGTGCCTGAGCCCCTGCAATGCCTCTTTGGAGCTCGCTCTCAAGCTGCCCAGCCTGGCCATCGCTGGAGGCCCGGATGTCCACACTGCCAGCCATCACCTCCACTGGGAACAGGGGTTTGGCCCTCCAGTTTCAGGCCCAAAGCCCTCAGGATACAGCCGTTTCCTCAACCAGCACCCCAAAAGGCATCCAGCCCCCCAAGGTTCAGGCCCTTAACCTTCGCCACTTCCAGGGCCACCGCACTTCACTGCCTCGCTCACCCCATCTTCCCGATCTGTGCATCACACTACCCCTGGCCCCCATTCAGATGCCCAGCCCCTGCTCCGGCTGCTGCTCCCCTCCTTCTCCCTCCCATGTCCTGGTGACTGAGGGAGGTCACATCTCCGGGCCCGTCCCTCCCAACCTCAGCTTTCCCAGGCAGACCAATTAGAGCCATGCAGGCAGCTCATTAGTGTGACAGCCAGGAGCTGAGGAGGGGTGGGGAGAGGGTGGCACCACAGGAAACCGCACGCCCCAAGGACAGGGCCCTGAGGAGGGTTCCTGCAGACATCTAGTGCTTTCTCTCTCCGCAAAGGCCTGCACACAAGCTCCTAACAATCACAGGCCCACGGCATCATGCCAACTGCCCGACCGTCCTCCATCACAGAAGGACTGAGCTGGGATTTGAACCCTCGTGATTTCCTGACTGCCTGGCTGCTCATTTGTCCCAGGTTCCCTTCAGGCACTGGAGAGGCGTGTTCAGCGAGAGCGACCTGGTGACTGAGCTGTCCCGTCTTCCTGACAATGGCCTTCCTTTACGAGGGGCTCCTGTACGAATACTCTTGTAAGACCCCATTCAGGCACCGCCTCCCCAGGAAGTCCCCCCCCAGGGGGCCGGGTGCGGATGTCCTCCTGGGACCCTGTGGGCCGGGAGTCTCTGCGGGCAGGGCTGCGTCTGACTCATGCCGGTGCCCAGGCCAGGGTGGCCTCAGCCTGTGAGTGAGTGAGTGAGTGAGTGAGTGATGAGGCTCCAGCAGGGCTTTTAAAGTCCTTCTGTTCCCTCTGCCTGAGAATCGGTGAACCTGGAGGTAGAGGATGGGGTCGGGAGGAGCAGGCTTCTTACCACATGGACCGCTCCTTCCTTCCTCCATGCTGGAACGCTGGCTCTCCCTGGAAGTTCATTTGGGGGAAGAAAAGAGGTTAGGTCTCCGGGCTACACCACCTCAAGAATTCACCATCTTAAAACACTTGCCTTCCTCGTGGCCCTCCTCGGGGATGGCTCTATCCCCTCACCGATCCCCGCGCCCGCCCCCCCCCGCCCCCGGCAGAAACCAGCAACTGGAGCGTGGTTCTAGACCACTCCAAGCCCTTCTTCTTCTTCCGAACCCAGGAGGCCAGGTCCCCCAAACTTCTTACCTGGGCCCAAAGGGGCTCCGTGGTCCCTTTCAAACCCCATTATCCTCCCAGGGTCCCAGTCTTGGATCATTTGTTCTCCCTCAGGACCAAGGTCCCTCTCCGTTTTCTCCAGAGACATCTCATTCAGCTTGGCACTGTTTTCCAAATGCATCCCTGAGCCAGGCCGGTGTGGCTCAGTGGTTGGGTGTTGGCCTATGAACCAGGAAGTCAGTTTGATTTCCAGTCAGTGCACAGGCCTGGGTTGCAGGCTGAATCCCCAGGAGAGGGCCCTGCAGGAGGCAGCCAATCAATGATTCTCTCTCATCATTGATGTTTCTACCTCACTTCTTAGTGTGAACATTAAAGATGGGTTGTGTCGCCCTAGCCAGTTTGGCTCAGTGGACAGAGCATTGGCCTGCGGAGTGAATGGTCCCAGGTTCAATTCTGGTTAGAAACATGTGTTGCAGTTCCAGGATCAATCTCTGGCCCTGGGTGGCGTGTGTGCAGGAGGCAGCCAGTAAATGTCTTTCTCTCACATCGATATTTCTCTAGCTCTCTGTCCCTTCCCCTCCCTTCTACTCTAAAAATCAATGGAAAAATATCCTTGGGTGAGGATAAAAAAAAAAATAATAAAAAAGAGCCGAAACGAGTTTGGCTCAGTGGATAGAGCGTCGGTCTGCGGACTGAGGGGTCCCACGTTCGATTCCAGTCAAGGGCATGTACATTGGTTGTGGGCACATCCCCGGTAGGGGGTGTGCAGGAGGCAGCTGGTCGATGTTTCTCTCTCATCGATGTTTCTGACTCTCTATCCCTCTCCCTTCCTCTCTGTAAAAAATCAATAAAATATATTTAAAAAAAAAAAAAAGATGAGTTGCCTCAGTTATTTAAAATTATGTAATATTATTGTTCAGGTTACTACAAAATTCATAAAACAATCACTACTTTTTAAATTTGTTAATCCTCACCTGAAGGTATTTTTTCCACTGATTTTTAGAGAGAGTTGAAGGGAGGAAGAGGGAGGGACAGAGAGAGAGAGAAACCTCATGTGAGGGAGACACAGCCACTGGTTGCCTCCTGTAGGCACCCCTAGTGAGGCTGGTAATAAATCCCGAAGGTATGCACCCTTGATGGAGAATTGAACTCAGGATCCTCTGGTCTGTGGGCCAACACTCTAACCACTGAACACACCAGCCCAGGCAACAATGGCTACTGCTGAATTCAAGATTTCATAGTGGGTTTGCTAAAGTAAATGCTTAATGTATCTTTACAGTGTCAGGAAATACTGTTCACTCCCACTGTAGTACCATTCTATTTATTTTTTTTAGGATTGAGTAACAATTAAAAAATTTTTTCAATTACAGTTTACTTTCAGTATTATTTTGTATTGGCTTCAGGTGTACAGCACAGTGGTTAGACACTCATATACTTTACAGAATGTCCCCCCTATATTTCCAATACTTACCTGGCCCCAAACACAGTTATTACAATATTATTGACTATATTCCTTATGTTGTGCTTTGACTGTTTTGTAAATGTATGTAGTACCATTTTTTTAATTTTTAAAAATTTTAAAGTTTTTGTTTTAATCCTTACCTGAGGATATGTTTTTTATTGATTTGAGAGAGAGGGAGAGGGAGAGGGAGAGGGAGGCAGAGGAGGGAGAAAGAAGAAACATTGATGTGAGAAACACTGATTGGTTGCCGCTCATATGCACCTGCAACCTGGTGATGTGCCGACTGGGAATTGAACCCGAGACCCTTCAGTGTATTAGATGATGTTCCTAACAACTGAGCCACACTGGCCAGGGTGTAGTGCCATCTTAAATAAGGGGATTTCTGACAGTGTTTCCTAAACAACAACAATCACAATCACAAAGGAATGTGTTTGCTTTCTTCATTTTGCCTGCAACTAGCAGGCCAGTCCCCAGGAGGCAGGATGGTGTCCTGTTTGGCTTGGGTTCCGTGTCCCTCAGTGAACGATTGCCTATTGAATGGGACAGAACAGGTACATGGATCCCAGGCCCTTTTCCCAGTTCTGGTCTCATGGCCCCTCCCGTGCTCACCTGCCCCTCAGCTGGGGCTTCAGGCAGGAACTCAGCTTCCTCATCGCTCTCACTGGTGCCGTCCTCCCACTGCCACACCCCACACAGCGGGCTGGAGAGATGGGTGGCTGCCTCTTCTTGTTTCTGAGGTCAGGGAGGGCCAGGTCAGAGATGGGGATGGAGATGGGCTGTGGGGTGGGGTGGGGGTGGAAGGAGCTGATATGAGGCTGGGCTGGGGAGGTGGAAGCAGGACCAGGAAGAGTTTGGTGCCAGGATGAAGAATTGGATAAGGAGGGGTGAGGACAGATGGTCCTGAGGAGACGGGGAGTTAGGGTGAGTCAGGGCTGGGTCAGAGTTTGGGGTGTTCCCAGGGTGGCAGACCCACCTGCTGAATGGCGTGGATCTCCACGCCCAGTGATGGGGGCAGCAGCGTGGTCCAGTCCACTCCTCTCGCCTGAGCCCCTTTGGGTAGCCTGGCCACACAGTCAGGAGGGGGCCTCGGTGCCTGCCCACCACCTGGCCGGCGGCCTATGCTGGGGCTGCCACCCTCGCCCGCCGTGGGGCCGGAGGCTGAGGTTCCTGCCCTTGGGTTCTCCCCCTGCCTCCTCCACCCTCATGTTCCACTCACTCATCTGGCCCCTGATGGATCTGACTCAGCTGCTCCTCCAGGTGGGAGATCTCCAACCGCAGTTCCTGCAAAGGAGGGAGTGAGGGACACCTGGTTTTCCATCCCCCCCCCCCAGGTCCTCTTCCAAGGTCAATTCTACTCCCCTGACCTCTTTCCTCAAGACACACACCGCCAAGGGACACGGGGAAGAAAGCAGAGCCAAACAGGAGGCTACGGAGAGACAGAGCAGCAGGACCCAGAAGGTAACTGCCAGCCAGGAAAACCAGAGGAAGGCGGAGATGAGACACGTGGAACAATACAGCACGACGGAAACAGATTTGAAGAGAGGCAAGACACACAGGAGGTGTATGAGTCTCCTAAAGACCAGGGACAGAGACAGGAGTCTCCCTGAGAGACACACTAGATCCAGAGAGGGGCTGAGACAAGGACCTACACACGCCAGGCAGATACACAGAGAGAGGAGGAGGGGCGATGTGGTGAGAAGACACCCACAGAGAATAAAAGTGAACGGAAAACAGAGATACACAGAGGGAGAGAAATGAAAGGCAGAGAAAAAGCCAAAAGACAGAGTGGGAAAGAGAGAGGGACATACATCAGACAGTGGAGATGGAAGTGAGAGGAGAAGACTTGAGACACAGTGAGAAACAGAAAGAGGCAGTAAATCTCAGAGATGGCAAGAGAAGTGGGGAGAGCCAGGCCAAGCAGGGGGCCGCCAAGGGCAGGCGAGGGAGCCTGCCTTACCTGGGTGGTTGTTCTGTACTCTTCCAAGGTCTTGGCCAGACTCTCTGCGTGGCACGTGCGCTGGGAAAGCCCAAAGCCAATGAGACTGGGCCCAACCTCATAAAGACACTGAGGCTAGGAGTGGAGGTGTGCCAGTGTGGGGGAGGGCGGGGTGAGCTTGGGGAAGGGCTAGGGTCTGAGGGACAGCATTGCATTTGGAAAATAGAGAAATTTAGATTTAAATGTAAAAGCCGTATGCAGATGTAGGATAAAGATCTGGGGGGCTCTTGGGGAGATCCTTAGGGCTGGGGGAGGGGTAGGAGAACTGAAGGAGAGTCACAGGGAGAACCTAGGCAGGCAAGAGTGGATGTACTTGGACCACAGAACCCCTGGGACATCTGGGAACCTGAGAGGCATTTCCCAGCTCAGCTGCAGAGCACAGGCGTGATCCTGCAGGCTGTGCTTGTGACCTCGGTAGAACCCCGGGACCCCTCTGGGCGGTGTGCTTACCCCGGGATTAGAGCCAGGCAGGCCTCCCTTTCCTGACTCAGGGCAGGAGATGGGCCGGTGCCCAGGGAAGCAAATGTCACCCAGCCCCTTACCTCGGAGAGGTCGGTGTCACGCTGGCAAATGAGGCGTTCACACTCGTAGAGCTGCCGCTGCCAAGGAAGGAGTCTGTCCATCTGTCCTGCCCAACCCCGAAGTCCTCTCCCCAACCTCCCTCCTGGGCTCTGGACATTGGCTAGTGGACAGGAATTTCAGCCAAGTTGCCTGGTAGGCCTGGGAACCCGACGGCTTGATGGAAGTTCCCAGCTGTCACCAGGCCCCGGTGGCTGAGACTGGAGATGGCACATAGGGCCCTGGGGTGGTGGGAAGTTGCCAAGGTGCCAGGGAGGGCAGCACCTTCAAAGCGTCCTTCTCCATGGCCAGCTCCTCAGTCCTCCTCTTCACCCCATCCCGCTCAGCCAGCAGCTTCCCATTCTGGAGGGGGGAATGGCTGGTTATGTTCGCGTCAGCACACGGCGATGCCAATGCCCACAGTAGACATTTGCTGACACGGGCTGTGCATCAGGCTTCATGCTGAGCACTTTATGTGTGTTAGCCCATGAAACCCCTCTGAGCATCCTATGGAATCTCAGCTTTGGTTTCTCTGAGCATCAGTCCATCCCCCATCCATAAAAATGAAGATGAGATACAGCCTACTTCATGGGGCTGCTGTGAGGACTAAATAAGATACTTGGTAACATTTACTGAGCACCTTGCAGTAAATAAGTAAAAAACCTCATTTCTTACCCCCTATGTTAAAGATAAAAGCAAATCAGCTCTGGCTGGGTAGCTTAATTAGTTAGAGTGTTATACCCATATGCTGAGGTTGTGGGTTCCATCCCTGGTCAGGGCACATACAAGCAGCAACCAATGAAATGAATGCATAAGTGGAACAAAAATGATATTTCTCTTTCTTTAAAAAATTAAAAGTCAAAACTGGTTTGACTTAGTGGATAGAGCATCGGCCTGCGGACTGAAGGATCAAGGGCATGTACCTTGGTTGTGGGCACATCCCCAGTGGGGGGTATGCAAGAGGCAGCTGGTTGATATTCTTCTCTCATCAATGTTTCTAGTACTCGATCCCTCTCCCTTCCTCTCTGTAAAAATATCAATAAAATATATTTAAACATATAAAATAAAAATCAATAAAAAAAAAAAGCAACTCGGGCACATAAAGGTTGAGTGACTCCCCAGGTCTATAGATGGTAGTCAAATACATTTATTAGCACAAATATTTAGAACAGTGCCCAACATATATCAAGTGTTTGGTAAGTGTTATATTCAACATAGTTTTATGTGGACTCTAAACTAAATATAAGTGAACAAACAAAACAGAAACAGATTTATAGGTACTGAGAACAGACTGATGGCTGCCAAAAGGGAAGGGGTTTAGGGAACTGGGTGAAAAAGGTGAAGGGATTAGGTACAGATCAGTAGTTACAAAATAGTTATGGGGATGTAAGGTACAGCACAGGAAATGTAGACAATAATATTATGATAATTATAAATGGTGCCAAGTAGGTACTGGAAATATCAGGGGACCACTTTTTAAAGTATATGACTGTCTAACCACTATGTATACACCTGAAATCAATACAAAATAATATTGAACGTAAACTGTAATTGAAAAAAATCTTGCAAATATTTTTAAAATTTTGGATTTTTACATACAAAAGTAAAAATAAAAGTGTAATGAAACCCTTTACCAATCATCCAGCTTCAATAATTATACAGTTTCCCAGTTTCTTTATTCTCTATCATGCAGGTGGTTTTGTTTTGTTTTGTTTGGGGTTTAACCAGATTATTTTAAAGCAAATCCCAGGCATCATATTATTTCACATTTAACTACTCCTGCATTTTAATCTCCTACTTAAGGACCCTACCTTTAGCAAAACCATAATACCTACCATAATACCTACCATTATCACCCATACAAAATTAATAATTCCTTAGTACCATCTCACTCTCAAGTTGTGTTTTTTTTCCTCCTTCAAATGTTTCACATTTATTTTGTTTGAATGAGGATCCACAGGCTTTTGGTTGAAATGTCTCAATCCTTTTTATCTGAGTGACCCCCCACTTCCCAATCCTGGCATTTTTGGGGTTTCTTTTGTAGAAGAAACCATGTTATTTGTCTTGTAGAAATGGGGCACTTGGTTTACTGTGTTCTTCTCCTCCATGGGGACATTCACCATGTCCCTGCATCTTATTTCCTATACACTGGTGGGTAGGTCCAGGGCCTGGTCCAGACTTTGTTCAAATTTTTGGCAGGCAGATTTCATGGGTGTTGTGATGCATGTCCTGTGCCATTCAGGAAGAATGTAATGTCTGGCTATCCTAACGTAGTTTTAACTGCCGTCACCCCCAATTTTAGAGAGGACACTGAGGATCAGAGAAGTTAAAAAACTTGGCCAAGGTCACATGGTAAGTGGACTCAACTCAAATCTGACTCCAAATTCTGTGCTTATAACCTGACTCTCCTCTGAGCCAGATGAAGCCTTGGGTGACCAAGGGGAACCAGCTGCATCTCTTGTCCTGAGTTCATTACTGGAGGTGGAGACCAACACAGAAGCTGATGATAATGAGGGAGGTGGATTCTGCTGAGGACTAGGGCCTGGGCCTGCTGGGAGCCCTGAGGCGGAGCTTCCTGAGGCGGCAGTGCTGGGGCGAATCCTCAAGGGTGAGGAGAATTATGGGAGGGTTGGGGGGGCGGGGGGTAGAGGGAAGCAGGCCAGGAGAGGGCAGTGGGCAGGGCTAGCTATGAAATAGCACTGAGAATAAAATGCCCCAAATTCCATTCTAGAGTTTTTGGGCACCAAAAACCTAGCAAGTTGCACTGAGTTTTGATGAGGGATCATGGGGAAAACATTTCTGGGCATGGAGGCAGTTATTTCCCTTGCCACATCCCTCATCCTGGTGCCCCTGGGGATACCAAGGCCAGTCCCTCCTCCTCTCCAGCCCAGCTTCCCTGCCAGTCCTCCATCAGCTGCCCTCCCTCCCTCTCAGTCCCAGCCAGCCTGGATGCCAGGTGAAGGGCGGAGGAAGGACGGGCCAGGAATGCTGTGTCAACATCTGTTCACCTGGTTGGGATTTGCAGGCTGGATTCTGGGCTACTCGGCAGGGAACCTGGTTACTCAGCCGCTCCTGCCTTCTCCTGCAGTAACCTGAGCCCTGCTCCATAGGTGCTCCCAGGGAAAGCTGAGTGTCTGAGTGTCCCTTACTCCAGCATTATTCTACTGTAACTTGAGAACTCAGTCTATAGATGCTCTGAGGCAGCAGCCAGTGGGGAGAAAGGTGGAGGGGGGGATCCAAGAATAGCTCGTTATCGAGCGCCTAGGATGTCCCAGGCACAGCTCAAGGCACTTCTGGGCCGAGAAGAGCGGACTGCTGCTGCCATTCGCCCTGCTTATTCCTTTTGCTTTCATTGGGGTCCTCTCTCGTGTGGGCAGGTGGTCCCCAGCCTTAGCCCTGGAGGTGAATCAAGATGGAAATCTTGTCCGAGTTAGGAGTTGGGCAAATTAGCTAACCCAGCAGCCATTCTCCCCCTCCAGGGGCCGAAGGTATTCATTCTCTCGGCCTCCCGCGCAGCTGGGGGTGGTGGTGGGGGGTTACTCCTGGAAAAGCTTCCCTTCTGATGAAAAGAGAGAGCCATGAGAGGGGCATTTGCTGAGGGCCCTTGCCCCTCCTTGTCCTGCTTTGAATGAGAACATGAAGTTGGGAGCTCTTACAGCCCCGTGATCACAAGGCCACGGACAGAAAAACAAGCCAAACACCTTCCAAACCACTTGTTAATCAGGATTCCCGACTCATCGGGGCTGTTACACCAGGGAGTGGCGTGGCTATTATCACTTGCCACTTTGGTCCAAGAGCTCTAAGAGGGAGGCTCTGCCAGAGGATTTAGGGAAGCCTCTGCTTCTTGAGAAGAGAAGTTCTAGAAGAATCAGTTACATCCTACCTGGATCCCATGCCTCACACTGTGGAGGCTTCAGGGAGGGAATTTTCATGGAAGAGCAAGAAAACAATAGTAGACACATTTTTAGATTTAAATGTAACAGCCATATGTAGTCATAGGACAAAGATTTGGGGGGAAGGGGCCAGGCAGAGTAGGGCTGGGGAAGGGGTGCAGGAGAATCGAAGAGAGCAACAGAGAGAAAATAGGCCCTGAGACATCCAAAGCGGTGTTAGCTGTGAGGGGGGCAGGAATGGATGCACTTGCCCTACCCAGTTTGGCTCAGTGGATAGAGCATCGGCCTGCGGGCTGAAGGGTCCCCAGTTCAATTCCAGTTAAGGGCACATGCCTGGTTTGTGGGCTCCATCCCCAGTGTGGGGTGTGCAGGAGGAAGCCCATCAATGATTCTCTCTCATCACTGATGTTTCTCTCTCTCTCTCCCTCTCCCTTCCTCTTTGAAATCAATAAACTATATTAAAAAGAAAGGAATGGATGCACTTGAACCACAGAACCCCTGGGACATGTGGGAATCTGAGAGAGGCCTTTCCCAGCTCAGTCGCAGAAGCAACAAGGCATGTGAATAAAGGAATAGAAACTGAGTTGTTGAGGCGGAGGGGGACCAGGAAGGCCCCAGTGGCCAGTCACAGGAAAACAGCTACACTTCACTGTGCCCCTGGATGGGTACAGCAGTGGCTGAGCGAGAGCCCCAGTGGCCTTTATGGGGCCAGCACTGGCAGACGCACAAGGACCGTATGTCCAGAGATGAGAAGGCAATGGCAGCCTCCCAGTGGATGCCAGCATGCAGTGGTGACTAAGGCCAAGGAGCAGATGGGACTACGAACATCAATCCTGTCCAGCAGAGAGAACAGATGTTGAGTGAGGACCGCTGCCTCCTGGAGCACAAAGGTTCCGCCTGGGTCTCCAGCAACTTAGGTGCCACCTTGTGGGGGGACAGTGACGAGACTCACCATCAAGGGATGAGTCTCAGTTCCCACCTAAAAGGACTAGGTAAACTCAAAATGGTCTCAGATGATGTTTTCTGTCTCAGATGGGATGTGGTTCGAACCAAACATGAGGTTGAACTGGGACTGGGACTGTTCCTATTATGGGCTGGGCTCTGGGCTAAGAGCAGTCATTTAATTCCCATAATAACCCTGGTGAAGAGATACCTTTCTCTCCATTCTTAGAAAATACTGTGAAACTAAGGACCTGGCTGGGGGCTCAGCTGGTTAGAATGGTGTCCCAGACACCAAAAGGTTGCAGCTTTGATCTCCAATTGGGCATGTGTGGGAGGCAACTGATTGATATTTCTCTCCCTCCCCCTTTCTCTCTCTTGCAAATCAATAAAAACATATCCTCTGCCCCTGGCGCTTTGGCGGAGCGGGGAGGGCGCACGCCTGCGGCGCCCGGGGTCCCGGGTTCGATTCCCTCCGCCCCTCTGCGCCCGGGTCAATAAAAATAAAATGATTTTAAAAACATATCCTCAAGTGAGGATTAAAAAATATATATGAAAAGAAAACTAAGCTTAGGAAGGGGTAGTCACATGGGTAAAGGTTGCCAGTCATGTAAGTGGCAGAGATGTGATTTGAACTTGGCTGACTTCAAGGCCTATATTCTTTCCACCATAAAAAGCAACAACAACTAATATGCATGTGAACCACACCAGCTAACTTTTACTGAGCACTTTCCATGCTGTGTCCAAGGCTTTACAAGCATCCCTTCTTTAAATCTTACACAACTCAATGAGGGAGATTCTATTCTTTTGCCCATTTTTACAGGTGGGGACACTGAGGCACAGAGATGGGACCCATGCTTCCTAGTATGGAGGCGGCCTCAGCTGAACCCAGGCAGGCCACCACATACCCCACACTCCCACCACTGTGCCCGTTCTCACATGCAGTGATGCGACCTGCAGAGACATTCACGTACTGGGACCCTGGGTCCCCTCACCAGACTGAGGGGGGTTTGGTCTGCAGGCTGCTGGCTGTCTGAGGCACCGGGGGTAGGACGGGGAAGAGGTGGGGTGCGCGCTGGGCCTTGGCTCACCTCCTCCTGCAGAGTCTCCATTTCAGCCACCAGATGCTGCTGTTCCTTTTCCTGAGAGGACAAAGGCTGCTGGGGCTTCCTTGCCCCCACATTGCCCTTCCCCCTCCCCTGGATCCCACTCAGGCCTGGGTCACTGAGGAGCAGGGCTGGGGAGCCCAGATGGCTCCTGCTGCCCCCTGTGTCTTGAGAGGAATGGCAAAGCCTGAAGCAGGACTGGAGGGCGGAGGAAGCCTGGGTGACCTCTGCCTCTATAGTGAGGCTCCGTTGCTCAGAGTCCAAGAAAGGGGGAAGGGAGAGGACACCTGTGCCCCTTGCCCAGAACCTACCGTCTGCCGGGCCTGGGCCAGGAGACTGCGATTCTGTTCCTCCAGGCTCTTGGCCAGACTCTTCAGGTCCTCCAGCTCCTCATCCACAGCCTTGGCAAACTGCAGGGCCTGCTGGGTACTGTGTGGGGGCGGGGACATGTGAGCCATGAGAGGGGAAGACAGACCACAGAGAGATCCACTCAGAGACAGAAGCGACTGAGAAATCCCGGACAGAGACAGTGGGGGATGGAGACCCAGAGAGAAAGGGACAGAGACTCAGAGAAAAAAAAAAAAAGGTGTGTGTGTGGGGGAAGGAACTGAGGCTGGAGAACAGGACAACTTCTACCTAAATAAGGGGATAGGTCCTCGAGAGTGGGAGACTAAAATAGGGGATAGGACAGACATGAGGAAGACAGCACAATCTGCTAAGATGGAGAATCAGAGAGGGAATACTAAAGAGATGCTGAGAGACAAGAACCTGGGAGACGAGAGAAAGATAAAAGACAGAAGGAAAGAAGAACGGACATTTGTGGGGTCACAGACACGGAGGGAGTGGAGCGCGAGGCTGGGCTTCGGTCAGGACACGGGCACAGGGCGCCCACCTGCGGAGCTGCTTGCGCAGGGCCAAGATCTCCTCCCCGAGGCGCGCAGAGCTCTCCTCGGCGGTCTCCACGCTGCGCTGCAGCTTGGCGTTCTCCCCTGCCAGCCTGCGGTTACTGAGCTCCAGGTCCTCCAGGCTGCTCAGCAGGTCGGCGGTGCCCAGCCTGGGGGCAGGAAGGCCAGGGTCACCACCACAGCCCTGGCCTCCTCTCCCAGGTGACGTAGGTGGTGAGGGTGGTGGGGAGACAAGCTCTTGGGGAGAAAGAGCAGGAGGGAGACGGCACTGCTCTCCCTGAGCTGTTAGCACAGCCCCGATCCCTCACCCACTCCCAAGGGACCCCAAGCCCTAGCCTGGCCCTGGGCAGGCTGGAGGTCATGGGCAGGGGGAGGGTAGAGGGGCCTGAGGATAGGTACAGCTCAGGTCTGGGGTCTTCGCCTCCGAAGCTCTCCAGGTTGGCTGGCTCCTCTGTGTCGGGGCCTCCTGGAGGGAGACAGACAGAGGGTGGTGAGCTCCCCAGTGACGTTAGATACTGGGGTGACCCAGGACTCTGGGCTTGTTCCTTGTCTGGCTTCCACCCTCAGAGCATTCGCTCTGGGTGATCCATCTGCTCCCAGGGCTGTAACTACACCAGCATCAGACAAGGCTCTGTTCATCCTGAGCCCAGAGCGCCCTGTAATTTCCATGCCCAACACTGGCCCCAAACCTGTTCCTCTCCCGCCCCCCGCCCACACTCCCCCCCAGTCCACTAGGACCTAGGCTCTGTCCCCCTCCTCCCCGACTGTGTTCCACCCTCCTCTCTATCCCACCCCCCATCCTGGCTCAGGCTCTCACCACAGCCTCCTCCCCAGCCTCCTCCCCTCCAGCTTCCCCCTTCTGCCCTCCCACCACTTAGAGCTGACACCCCCCCCCCCCCTGGTCACATCCCTCCCTTGGCCCTGAGCCCGAAGGGAGGAGGTCCAAGGAATGCTATTTCACTTGCTTTTGTTTTTCTAAGGCTGGGGAGTGTCACACACACGTTTAGGGAGCACCTCCTGTGTGTGAGGTCCTGGGGATACTATGGTGAGCAAATCAACTAACGGAACTGCAGGGCAGTAACTGATCAGATGATCAGATTTCTGCAGGCCTGTGTGTGTGTGTGTGTGTGTGTGTGTGTGTGAGGAGAGCAAGGGACTTAGCCTGGGGCATCCTGGGTGGGACTGAGGTGGGCAGAGCCTTGTGGGCTCTGTAACAGAGCTGGTGTCAGAAGCTTTGGAAACAACTCGGGGGAAATAAAACCTGCAAAGTTCAACGAAGGTGGGGAGGCAGTAACAGAGACTCCTAGAAGGCCAAACCCACAGCTCCAAGCTGGAGCAAAGGTCCCTGGGTCCCACTCTACCTCCTGCTCCGTGCCAAGTGGAAAGTCCCCTCACTGACCCTCCGCCAACCTGTGTCATTCTATATAAAGCATCCTCACCAGATGGCAGCTGCTGGGAGGTCAGGGCCCCCTCGAAGGCAGTCTCCTCTTCCAGCTCTAATCCTCTGTATCAAAGGGATGCGGCTTAGAGCACCCCCACCCCCACCCCCCGCAGCCATCCTCAAACCCAGCAGGGGTTTTGGGTGGCTGGAGGAGGGGCCAGGTTAAGTGTGAGTAAGCTCCATGGGGAGGAAGGTGGGGCCAGATGGCTAGCGCCTGAGGCCAGATGGCAAAGCAGGAGAGCAAGGACTGGGCTTGGAGAAGGGATGGTGAGGGGCATCTGTTAACCCATCACCCCCGTTTTCCTCCTTCAGCACCTTTTGTCTGCTTCCCAGACCCCCTTCACACCCCCTTCCCGGGCACCTTGTCCTTAGACCCTCTGCTGCTCCCCACCCCATCTCTTTACTTTTTCTCTCCTCAGCTCCTTCCAACCACGGAGGTCCCTGTGCCAAAGGGTGCTGGCTGCAGTAAGTAGGTGTGAGGTTAGATCTTAGGAAGGACTTCCCAGGTGAGGGTGGAGGTACAGGGACCCACCCATCCAGCTGACAGGCAGTGATCCAGTCTCGCATGACGACCAGGAAGGTGTCCAAGTCCACGGTGGCCTGAGGGCCCTCCCCATTGGGGTCCAAGCTGCAGGCCAGTGTTTGGAGGCGTGCGTCCTGGGGGCCCTGTCCGGTCACAGCCTCCAGGTAGGCTAGCACTCGGGTCACAGCCACAGAGCCTGGAGACAGCATGTCATGAGGGAATGGGGCAGGTGGGGAGGCGTGGGAGTTGGGGACATTAGGCTATTGCTGGCTGGGCTGGTGGCACCCCTGTACCACAGCCCGGCTGGGACAACTTGGGCAGGTCCTTTCCCCTCCTCAATGTCCACTTTTTCACCTGGACTTTCCCACAAGTCATCAGATCCCGCTCAGAGGGTGGACCACAGAGAATCAGCTATGCCCCAGGCCCTCAGTGGCTGGCCTCTCCCCCTCCCTCCCCCAGGCAATGAGGCCCCACCCTCTTCTCCTAATATCCCCAAGTTTTCGTCCCCTCTGTCCTGGCCTGCAAGGCCTCCATGCCCTGTCCACTCGTTCCTAAAGCTTCCCATAACCACCGTCCTACATGCCCTCATCCCTCTCTCTAAGGCTCCCCGGTTCCAGGCCCCCCATCTCTGCCCCTTAGTATTTCCTATCTCCCCCGCACCCAGGCTCCCAGGCGCCATCCTGCCCCTCCCACCTGTCCTCTGGGGGTCACAAGCCTCGAACATAGAGTTGAGTATTTGGTCCTCTAAGCTGAGCGGTGTCTCCAGGCGCGACTCCTCCGGCTGTTCCCAGAGGTACACTGAGGAGACAAGAGGGCAGTCCCCCCTGAGGAGAGGCGTGAGCTGGCTCCCGCAGAGGGGGGAGTGCCTTCTGAGCCCTGGAGGCCCCGCTGGTGGGAACAGCTGGAAGCTTCAGATGGGGGCAGCAATGCGAGGGTCTTTGAGTCACCTCCTCACCCCCACCCTGGGGATGTGGGCCCCATCTTTTAGGCCGGGAGTCACCCCAGCTGTCTGATTCTTTGTGTCCAACCCACTCAGAAGCCAGATAAGAATGAGCAATCACCCTTCCCTTCTCTCTCCCCCTGCCTCCCAAGCTGTACTCAGAGGGGCTACAGGAAGGGGAGGGCAAAGAAGAGAGGATTCTGGGAGGAGCCGAGGGTGAAGGAGGGCCCAGAAGCCAGGAACAATCCGATAACATCCTGGCAGCCTGGATCGATTCTGCCTGCTGCATCTCCGGTCCCCAAGCCTGCCTGGTGGGCCGGGCCTCTCTCCCTCACCATGCCCAGTTGAAGCTGGCTGTGGGGGGAGCCCAGGGCCGGGAGCTCAGAGCCCAGCTGCACTACTGTAGGCAAGTTGCTCCTCTTTTTGGAGCTGCAATTTCCTAAGCAGTGAAATGGCAGGGAGGTGGGGGAGTGATCCTGCTCCCCAGGACTGGGAAGGTTAGTTTTGTGCGTGTGTGTAAAGAGCATGTACATGCACACGTGCTCACACACACAATATGCACACCCCAGGGTCTGTTTGTCCACTGCTGTATCCACAGTGTTTGCAGAAATACGCCAAGCTAGGGGAGGAGACCCTTTACCTCAGGAACAGCCCAGCATCTTTCTGCGGCTGGAAGTGACCTTCAAGGCTCCCTGACTGCTGGGAACAGCACTGGGCTGCGCGCAGGCTACAGGCCTGGCAGCCCCACGGGACAACCCGGCAAGGGGCTCAGCCCCCTGGGTGGTGTTCCTTCCCTCTTAGAAAAGGAACGAGGTAAAATCTGGAAAAGCCCTGGCGGAGGGCCTGGCGTGGAAGTTTAGTAGGAAAGGTTTTGCATGGGCCTCACTTTACAGGTGAGGAGACCGAGGCATAAGAAATTTCAGCACGAGTGCCCTTTCTCATTCCACCCTTCACAGGTTCTGTGTAATGAGCTCAAATTCAGCCCCTCGGTGGAGCCCGTGCTCCTTGGGAAGGGGAGCAGGAACCCAGCTGAGGGAGATGCCAGGCCCGTGCCCAGGGCTTTCCCTGCACTTGTTTCCTCCTCTTGCAGTGAACCCACGTTATGGAGGAGGACCCCGAGGCCGAGCAGTCACTTGCCCAGCACCACTCAGCCAGGGAGAGCAACGGGAGTCACCCCAGGACTGTGGTTACAGATCACGTGGGGGCCGAGGATCCGCCTGTGTCCTGTCTCTCCCAGGGCCCCGCAGGAAGAAGCCATTGTGCTTCTCTCCTTTTCTTCATCTCCTTCCCAGTGTCTCCACCTGTCTCTGTGTCTGCCCTTCTCTAGTGTTCTCTTGTTCTTTCTCTCCATCTTCCTTCCACCTCTCTCCCCATTGTGTCCTTCTCCATGTGCCTTGCTTCTATTTTCTTCTGTGTCTCTGTGCTTCTCTTCCCATATCTCTGAGACTCTCCGTTCACTCCCCAGCCTTCTCTCTCCCTCCTCTGCTGTCTCTCTGTGTCTTTTACCCCAGAGTCTTCCTCTGTCTCCACCTCCCCTGGGTGTGCCCTCCCTTTCCTCAGGAGCCTCTCAAAGCTGGCTCAGCCCTGGCCCACGGTTCCTCAGTGGCCGCACGCCCTCTGCTGGTGCCAGAGAAGTTTTCAGTCACTCCATCAGCAGGCACACGGGTCTCCCCACCCAGGTGTCCGCTTCCTACCTTCTCACCCAGAAAACCTCCTGAGGCCGCAGCTCAGCCTGGGGCCCTGAGCAAACACTCAGGTTCTGCTGCTGCTGGACGCTAGGCCGGCCTCTCCCCGAGGGTGGGAGCCTCCTCGCCATCACGCAGGGCTCCCCACCCAGCCAAGGAGTTTCCGAGAGGGCAACCGCCAAGCAGCGTCTTGCTCTAGAAGCGGCTTTCACATGCACGTGGTTTGCATCCAGCCAATTCAAGGACAGTAACGAGTGCCTACTATGCGTCAGGTATGGTTCTGGCGCAGCACCACCACACGTGTTTGTGAGCGCGTGGACTGTGGCCAGCAGGAACTGAGATGCTCTATTAGTATAAAGCACACACCAGAGCTTGAAGACTTAGCACGGGGGGGGGGGGGGGGGAAATTATCTCCAATCCATTTTATATTGATTATACGATACTGTGAAACTATTGTAGATATATAAGGTTTAATAACATCCATTACTGCCATTCATTTGGTCTTTCTTTCTTTCTTTTGAATATGGCTACTAATAAAATTTAAAATTACTTGTATGCTGCTGGACAGTGCTGCTCTAGGAACCGGAAATACCAGAGAGAATAAAGCAGAGCCGGCCTGGCAGAGCTCATGCGCTAGCAGGGGGACAGAGAGTAGACAGAAAGACAGACTGATGTCAGTGCTAGGAGAGGCAGAGCAGCAAAGAGGAGTGAGTGTGACAGGACAGCTGCTTTACAGAAACAGAGGCTGAAGGAAGCGAGGGGTGAGCCCGCAGTCCCTGGTAAAGGGTGCTCCGGGCAGGGGCACCGCACACACAGGCTTCTGCTCTGGCGTCTAGGAGCAAAGGAGATGAGGGGTCCAGACAGGTGGGCACAGGGCAGCTTCCCTCCTTCACACCAACGCGGAGCCTCCAGCCACCTCTCCCAAGACCCCGAGCCACAGTCTGGCGCCCAGCCACCCGCTGCTCCCTCCTCACCCCCCGCAGGGTACACGGGACCAGACACCTACTCTGAGCAGCAGCGCCATCCGCTGGGCTCTCTGGTAGGTCCATGGGCCGGCCTCGTCGCTCCACAGCTGCTGGCGAAGCTAACAGCCTCCCTCCATCACCGGGAGGGCCTGAAAGGGACCGGCTGCTCAGAGCTCCTGGGAGGACAGCGGGGAATGGCCTCCTCAGGCCGGCCACCTGGGGGTGGGGCCTGACCTGCCTCACCTGCGCTCCAGGCCTTTGTGGTTCTCAGAACCTGTCTGCCCACCCTGCCTCCCGCTCAGACCTGTTTTATGGAGGGGAGCTGCGGGCTGGCCAAAGGGGGGCCTGAAGAGTGGGTGGCAGAGATCAAAGCGGGGCTAGTGGGTGGGGGTCACTGCCTCTCCACCAGCCCTCCTCCCACAGCTTGTCAAGGCCCCAGCTCTGTCTTCCTGCCCAATGACTACCCTGCCCCCTTCTCACCCTCCCTGTGGCCCAGGCTTCAGCCTCGCCTTCTCGCCAGGGGCCCTCATTGCAGCCTCTCCCCTGGCCTCAGCCTCCGGTCGCCCACGCCCACCCACACCCACAGGGCCCCCGGCTGACCTGCCCCTCCCATGCCCACTGCTCTCCATTGCTCCGGAGCACCCCCTGGGCAGAGCCTAGACCCTGGACTTGGCATCCAAGGCCTCCGTGGCCTGGCCCCACCCCAAATCCCACTCGCTGCTCCAGCAGCTCTGAGCTGAGTGCTGCTCCCCAGACCAGGCTCGCTGCTCCCGCCTCGGGGACACCCTCCTGGCCAGCCCTTCCAGTCTCAGCTCACACGTCCCCTCCTGGCCACCTCGGGCTACCGACGTCCTTGCCAGATCAGCCTGGTTTGGCACCGCACTCGTTTGACCCCATCTCTCCCCTGCTCTGTCCTCCCACGGCTCCCTGGTGCCCTGAGGACTAAGCCCTGGCCCCTCGGCTGGCATGGCAGAGGGTCCCTGGGACCCTTCCTTTTTGTTACTCTTCTCCCCACTGGCCCGCGTCCAGGCCCCTCCCCCTCCTCACGCCCACGGAGCTCAGATCTTCCCAGGCCTGTGGCCCTGCCCTGGCCCACAGCTCCCGGGAGCAGCGAGGGGCCCCTCCTCTGTCCTGTCTACATTAATTATAACCAGGATGACCGTGTGACGTCTCCTCCCACCTCCAGCACACTTTCAAGCATCAAAGGGACCCGGCCGGTGTGGCTCAGTGGTTGCGTGTCGATCTATGAATGAGGAGGTCACGGTTGGGTTCCCGGTCAGGGCACAGGCCCAGGTTGTGGGCTCGATCCCTGGTGTGGGGCGTGCCGGAGGCAGCTAATCAGTGATTCTCTCTCATCACTGATGTTTCTCTCTCTCTCTCCTTTCCTCTCTGAAATCAATCAAAACATATATTTTTAAAAGCCAGAGGGGTTGCTGAAACCGGTTTGGCGCATTGGATAGAGTGTCGGCCTGCGGACTGAAGGGTCCCGGGTTCGATTCCGGTCAAGGGCATATGCCTTGGTTGCAAGAGGCAGCTGATCGATGATTCTCTCTCATCGATGTTTCTAACTCTCTATCCCTCTCTTCCTCTCTGTAAAAAAAATCAATAAAAAAAATAAAAACAAATAAAAGCCAAAGGGGTGCTATTAATGAATAACTGCTTTGGATGCCCTGGCCGGTGTGCTCAATGGTTAGAGCATTGGCCCACTGAAGGGTCGCTGGTTGGATTCTTGGTCCAGGGAATCTCTTCTCCTTCCTCCCTCCCTCCCTCCCGCTCTAAAAGGATGGAAAATACCCTCGGGTGAGGATTAACAGCAGCAAATTGCACTGGATGGCGGTGCCCATCCCACTGAATTGGCACACGGAGCAAATAAGTGGTCTAAGTAGGGTCCCCCAGGGCCTGCTTGTCCTCACCCCATTGCATAGCTCCCCTTCCTCCCCAGGTGCTCCCCACACCCCGCTTTCCCTGGCCCCAGACAGGGCCACAGCCCTGCCGGACACACTTCTTGGCGGCTTTTAGGATTCCTAGAAAAAGGGGTTGAGACCCTCCTAGGGTTTGGGTGACGCTGGAGGGTCCAGCCGGGGGCAATGGCGCTGGAGCCTGAGTGGGAAAGGGGTGCAAGGGTGTGACAGGCACTGGGGGCCTCTGACAGGGCTGGGGGGGAGGATAAGCTCCTGGTGGGGGACTGAGGGAGGCGCTGTTCAATCTCGGGGTCTTTGGAGGGGGGGCTAGCAGGATCAGACAGGACTTCCGGGGGTCTCTGACGGGAACTCTGGGGAGGGTTTTTTTGTTTGTTTTTTTACTGAATTTCTGGGGGTTCTCTGATGGATTCCTGGGGTTTCTCTGGCTGAATTTCTGGGGTACCTTTGACTGGACTCCTGGCATTTCTCTGACTAGGTTCCTGGGGTCTAAATTTCTGGGGTCTCTCTGACTGAATTTCTAGGGTCTCTGACTGAATTCCTTGGGTATCTCTGACTGAATTTCTGGGATATCTTTGATGGAATTTCTGGGGGTTCTCTGGATTCCTGGGGTCTCTTTGACTAAATTTCTGGGGTATCTTACTGGGTTTCTGTGGGGTCTCTGACTGGATTTCAGAGCTCTCTCATATTTGGGAGGGGACTCTGACAGGATCCGGAGGGTCTCGGTAGGGTTTGGGGAGGCGGAGGAACGGGATTTCAGGGGTCTCTGGCAGGGTCTGAAGAAGTCTGACAGAATTCCTAAAAAATTCTGACAAGATTTCAGGGTCCTCTATGAGGTCTCCTGGTGGGTTCCTTTCAGTACTTCTGAGGGGATTTGGTCAGGACTTCAGGAAGGCCTTTAACAAGACATGGAGGAGGCCCTGGTTTTGGGGGCACTCCCCCAGGATTTGTCGGTTTTACAAGGATTTCGAGAGGGGCTCTAACAGGGCGCACCTGGGGCCGCGTCCCACTCCCGGGACACAGGCGAGGGCCACGAACGACGGACGACGAACGACGGACGACGACCAGCAGTTGCCCGCGTGGAGGTGCACGCACGCAGCTCCCGCCGGAAAAGCAAACGATGGCGGAGGGCGGGGCGGAGGGCGGGGCGGGGCGCGCACGCGGGGCGGAACGGAGCGCGCACGCGCGGCGTCTACCCCCCGCCACGCTGCGCTCCTCCCCCGACGCAGGCGCACGTCGAGCGAAGGTGCGCGCTTGTCGGTTACCGGCTACCACGAGGCTGCGCATGCGTAGGGCTGCGGGGGCGCGCGCCCAGCCGAGTGGAGCGGGCGCATGCGCGCTGCGGAGTGGGTGAAGGCTGGAGGGATGGTCGCCTTTCGGGGAAGGGGCAGGGGCGCTGTCCACTGCGCTGGGGTCTTCTAGGCGTCCCCAGGCTTCGGTGAAATAGATTCAAGCAAGGGGGAGCTCGGCGGAGAGTCTCCTTGTTTATTCCCACTTACTAGCTACCAAGCCGTGGCCTTTCTGTTCGCCCTTTCCGTTACAATCAAGTCTCACTGCTCCTGCGCTCTTTTGAGACTCCAGTCCCAACGTAGTAATAGACCCCCGAGGCTCTTTCCCAAACGGTTCCATTCCCCCCTTTTAGGAGAAAATGCGGACAAAATAGTCACAGCTTTTCTGGCTAGAAAGCGTCAATCCAAAATTGACTCCCAAAAAGGGGGATTTGGGACAAAAGATATTCCAATCGCTGAATATTCCAAACTCTCGGCCAGCTCTTACTATCCACTTTTTAGGGGTCCTCACGGCACGTCTTACAACGGGACACATTCTGTATTTGCGTTCTGTCACCCACAGGGGGATGTGAGCTATATGCAGTAGGAGACTGCTTGGGGGATGGAACATGCCTGGCCCGATGTGGGCACTTAAAAAAAAAAAAGTTGAGTGAATGGAATTCATGCCTGTTAAGTGCTGGGCAGTGTGGAATAATGAGGAGGTTGTGGGCCTGGAGTGAGACATGCTTTGTTTTCAATTTTGGTTCCATCACTTCCCAGCTGTGACCTTGGCACAATGGCTGCTCTCAGTTTTCCTCCCAGAAATAAAGATAATTGCTTCCTAGGTTATCTCAAGGACTTAAGGTGGTAATCCTTGTTCTTTTTTTGCTATTAATTGGTGGCTTGTTTTAAGGCCCGGGAAAGAACCTGCTTGGCAGGTAGTGGGGTGAGTGGTTAAGAGATATGGAATTGGACAAATCTAGAGCCATCGCTGTGAGACTGGTGACATCATCCCCGTAAAGGCAGCCTTTTCCCTGAAATGGGGCCAAATAGTATCTACCCGGGGTCTTATAAGAATTCAGTAAGAATGTTTTCCATGTGCTTTGTTAGCATAGGATGGCAAGTGGTAGACCTCATTAGCTTTATTAATATTTCAGATTATATTCAGATCCCTTACCGGAGTCCAACTGGCAACCTTTCAGTGCATGGGATGACACTCAACCCACTGAGCCACACAGGCCAGGGCTCTTTAGTATTTCTTGTTCCTTTCTTTTTTGAGGTCTGGGTAATTTTGTACCACCTGGAAATTTATTTTATAGTGATAACATATATATAGAGTGCTAAATCTTAAGTTATAGCTCAATTAAGTTTTTATAGTTTTTTGAGATGAGTGCTTAGTGATATTTTTCATTTAGCCTTTTTTCTAATACCGGTATATGCACTTAAGGCCATAATTTGTTTTAAGAACTTTTTAAAAAAGTTTTTTCTTAGGGAGAGAAAGGGACAGGGAGAGATAGAAATATCAATGAGATGCCCTGCCAGCATGGCTCAGTGGTTGAGCACTGACCTCTGAACCAGAAGGTCCTGATTCAATTCCTGGTCAGTGAATATGCCCGAATTGCAGGCTCATTCCCCAGGGTGGAGCATGCAGGAGGCTGCAAATCAATAATTTGTTCTCATCATTGATGTTTCTCTCTCCCTCTCCCTTCCTCTCTGAAATAAAAATACATTAAAAAAAATAAAACTTTGATGAGAAACATCAACCTCGATCAGCTAGCTCCTGCATGCCCCCTCCCCGCAGCCTGAGCATGTGCCCTGAACAGGTATTGAACCAGCGACCTCTTGGCGCATGGGTTAACTCTGCAGCTACTGACTGGACCTGAGAATCTCTTGAGCTACACTCAAGCCTATGTCACATTTCCATTATTAAAATATTTACTAATTTGCTCTAGCTCGTTTGGCTCAGTGGACAGAGCATTGGGGTTCCGGG